CTCTAATGGTAATCAATTCTTTAGTGCTGTTAAGAGTGGACTTTTTGTATTTACAAAACTGTTTTATCGACTAAGCCTTATTAAAGCAAAAGCAACCTTATCTCAAATCCAATAAGCTAGGCAAATTGTAAGCAATGTATTTTTTGAATTAAACAAACTGTCTCCCTATTAACACAGAAATGTTTTGCACATTAAAGTAAACAAAAGATGTCAGTCACTTCCACTTACTTGCGATTTATTTATACCACAATCTTCTCGGTTATTTCAGCAACTATTATAATAAGATTTCTAAGATTTTGAGATATAAACATCCAGTTTTGGTTTTGAATAATTAAAGCACAATTTGGGAAAAAATATTTAGGAAAACACTGGTACTGGTGATCTAGCATAGGATCTTCATATTTATCACACTTCACTTCAATAATCCTTGGTTTAGTATTTTTAAAACTCAAAAATATACAGAGACGATCTTACTGTGGCGAACAGCGCCATCTATAATCTGAGTTTAAATTTCAGTTTAAATTACCATTGGAAAATACCAAATCAAGAATGCGATTATTATGATTGTATTCTCCATTAAATTGACTAAAATTACATGTGTCGATGGTGTCGAAAAAATCATTCAAAAAATCGGCGGAATGGTTAACCGGCGTCATTGTCACTTCGTCGTTTGACCTTATCCAGTGGACATTATTACCGAGATTAAAATCACCCATTACAATAAATTTGTCCAATGGGTGACTACATACTATTTCACTCAATTTATCTAAAAAACTATTAAGTTGTTCTTTGTACGATTTACCACCCTCCTCCTTACATAAATATAATGTACACATATGCATTTTATATGTTACGGCCAATCTTTTGTGTTTCAATAACAAAGTTATCCAAATGTCCTCTGCCGAGCTGTTCCATTCAGGGTTGCATACGACAGGGAGATCGCGCCGCACCGCCAGCAAAACGCCACCGCCCAAAGTAATACCTAGCCTAGCATAATCACGATCCCGCCGGTAAACTAGATACCGACTATCAAACAACTCAGTGTCACATATGCCATCCAACAACCACGACTCAGAAATAGATATAATATCGTAATTATTAACACACACATTTCTATAAAAACAACTTACCTTTGTACGCAATCCCCTTGCATTTTGGTAATAGATCCTTAAAGCATACACTTTTCATTAAAACCACAACTGTTTAAAATTAACTTACCAGCACTATAACTTAATAGAAATAACCAATTACATAAATTAAATCCGCTCATCAAAAAATAACTTGTAAATAAGTTATTCACGACTTCGTACCAATCGTAAAAAATAATTAAACAACATAGGTAGTATAATAAACAATGACCGGGTATACCTCCGCAAGCATCTATGCACTGAACGACACAAATAACTCTAAACATAAAAACCAACAGCGGATAAATTGAATACACTACCAGCAATACAAAGGCGATACCTGTTAATGACTTCACCAACTGAGCTATATAAAAGATCATAAGCGACAAAGATCGATAAGCAATTATAAGCTCTAATGCAATGAACTTAATGCGGTGTTTTATAAAGCTATGAACGACTTCGCAGCCACAGCGACAAACAGAGTCGGAACTCGTTTTGTGTGTACGACACAATATTAGTTGGAATACAGTTGCAGCACAAGTAATTGTTATGATGCTCAAACTTTGCAATATTGAAATTTTACACACAAATTGTTTTGAATTTGGAAAAAAGTAAGTGATTGCTGCGCTCACACAAAATTTAAATAAATAATAACTAAAAATATTTTTGAATAAAAAATTACATAATATGAAAAAGTTGATAAAAATAATAAAAACGAGTGGATACCTACCTTTATTTGGTGGCGTAGAGTAGGTGACGAATATCTACGCTACCGTTGGCGTTGAAGTACCAAAATGGTGGCGTATTTCTACTTCTACGCTATCGTCGCGTTGAGAAAACCACTTATATCTCTGTAAATAAAGTATGATTTGATTTGCATTATAGCTCCAAACATGGCTTTCACTTCTACTAACATGATGCACTATTTGTTTTTCGTATAACAATCAAACTTACTTCTTTATGCACAAAAATCTTACCTTGAAAAAATTGTGTACACAAACTACACCAGACGTTCACATGTCAACTGTCAAAAATATAGCCGCTCGTCAAGCCGCTGTCCACAGATTACAGAAACTCAGTGTTGCCACTTCCCGATTCGAACTTCACCGATTCCTAAAGTTTAATAGAACATGGAGAATAGGTGGCGTTGTCAAAGTGGCGTATAAGTACAGTTTTTGACGAAAACTTATTTGAAATCATTTTCAAGGAAATTCTTAGGATAAACGTTGCTAAATTAATAGCACGGATAGCTATTAATATAAGTATTCTTAAAGTATCAGCCATGTCTCAAAAACTGACATACTTTTTGCTACTACGATAGTTAAAGTGCACCTCTACCTCGGCGGATAGAAGTTTTTGTGTAATCTTACTACCTTTTTTCAGATTTCATTCGAAATATATTTTTTGTTTATTATCTGACCTGAAATAATCATAATGTCCACTTGAGTCACTATGTTGCTTAATCCAAAGCCGTCATCGAAAATCCGATATCTATAATACTTTTCAAAATACTGACCGCGGAGAAAGTTTCCAGTTTCCAAACAGTTTTCAAAATCAGCAAAAAATGTCGGCCCATAAATGTCTTATTCTAGTTACAAATTTTCATTTCTTTGTCTAGCACATATTTTTGTGTTTTATTCTATTATATTTGTATCTTATTCTAGTTACATCTTGTTATACTTTACATTTTCCTTGTAATATATATTTACTTTCTTTTTTATTTTTTTTACAGTTTTCCATTTATTGCCTAATTTCTATTGTTTTTCGTTTGACTCCACACGGAGTCTTTGTGGTTGAGTAAGTCCACCATGCTTACAGGTTCAGCTTCCCCAAGACAGGGGTTCCAAACATGATATTTGCAACCCCTGTTTGCTTTGGCTGTTCCTGCACGCACTTTTCAGTTCTCACTTTTCCCTTTACGTTTCCTCCCAGTAGAGTCCCGTCTACTTTATGGTCACCGATTTTACCTTGCCTTCCTTTCCTATCTAATTGTTTTCCTATTTCATCATGAAATTTTTCACTATTAGCCATACTTGTTTTCCTACTCATTCCTTTATCTACTATTACTGTATTCCTATTTACGCCCTTAGCAATGTTACGCGACTTTCGACCTAGCTATTTTGTCCCATATTGCCCTTTGTGGGCATGCGTTATGAATGTATTATGTGCTGTATCCTTGCTATTCGCTTTCCTACAATTCTGGCAGCATGGCACTTCCTCCTTTTTTTGTGCATGTGGCATATTTGTGGTCCCCCCCACAGTGGCTGCAGCTGTCCAGCCGCTCCTGACAAACCCGCTTGATATGGCCGAAGCCCAAGCAGCGGGAGCACTGGATAAGCGGGGTCTGATCTTCTACCCTGGATGGTCCCCAGCGCAATTGAACAGTCCCCGCCTCTGTCAGCTTCTGCCATATTGCCGAGGCCACTCTCAGGACCACGCGTGCTGCCACATGTGGATTCCTGATTGTTTTTTCGAATACTGCCTCTATTTCGTCTTTTCCTTCTCCATTGCTGTTTCCTTTCTTTCCCTTCCCTATCTTTCTTCTTACTGCCTCTATTACTTGTTCTTTTTTATTTTCTCCCCTTACATACTTGACTATTACCAACGGATTTTTATTTTTCGCTCTTTCCACTATCAATTTTTTATTTCTTTCCAGTTCCTCTTTCAATCTCTCCATTTCATTCTCCCTAGCACACCCTATTATAACCTTCTGTCCCTTAGCCTTTCTTATTTTCTTTACTTCCATCCATTCTCCTTTATCATCTACAGAATTTTTTACCTCTTCGATCACATCTTCACTTGTCTGTGATACATCCGTTGATGCTACTATGATGGAATGTAAAGTTTCCATCTTAGTAGATGGCCCTTTTGCTTTCTCTGCATACGTATCTTTGCTAATTTCATCCATCATTTCTTTTACCATTCCTTCTATGTCCCTTTTTTCCTCTGTGGTTTGTATCCCTGCTTCTTTTTGCCTAATTTCTATCGTTTCTATTATCCTTTTTCCTTATATTATTTATTTTCTATTTCCTAGAATTATTTCTTTCATATTCCTTTGTTCTTCTAACATGCTTCTACTTTCTTCCACTGTTTTACTTAGCATGTTTTCTATTTCTCCCATGTTTTCTTTTCCTTCTTTCGCTACTTCCATTTCTTCTGTCATTATATCCCTTACATTATGTTGTTCTTCTATTACCTGTTTACTTAGCTGTTTTTGCTCAGACAGACCCTATTGGTTGACGGTACCTGTTGATAAATAAATAAATATTTCCAACACTCACACCAATTAGCCTAGCCCCAAAGTAAGCGCTGTAAGGCTTGTGTTATGGGATACTAGGGTAACGGATAGAATACATATACAGTATATATATAAGTATATTTATATAGAATACATATTAAACATCCATGACTGGAGTACAAATGCTCGTATTCATTACACAAACATCTGCCCCCACCGGGATTCGAACTCGGGATCTCTCGAGTCGGCGACACCATGAAACCCGGCGTACAAACCACGGAGGTCGTCGATTTGGAGGTCGTTGAAGTACCTGTGTTTGGCCTGTGAGACATTTGTAATGGTCATCGACGGCCAACTCCAAGCGAAAGGGTATTTCTTGGTTAAGGTTATTTGTTTTTTTTTACCGATTTCTGGTGTGAATATATTTTTCGGGTATTTTAAAACAAATTATGAAAAAATTTGTACGAGTTATAGGAAACCACTTAAAGTATGAGTTAAATCTTTTGTATCTCTATCTTTTGTAGAGGTAAGATCCGCCATTTGTTGTAAAATGACAATAAAGAGTAAATAATAAAATAATAATAAGCGCAGAGTAATATAAGTAGGTACATTAAAGTTTTATTTTCTTTTTTTAGATAAAGCTCTGAGAAGTGGTGATTTAGCTGGTTGTGCAAAATACTTGGACGGTGTAGGAAGTGGTGCTGACGTAGCTCCCCTTTGGAGACAGTTGGCTGAACGTGCTTTAGCCAATGATGAAATCCAAGTAGGTCCTTATAATATAAATTCTCTTGGGTATAAAAGCATATTATTATAGTTTTTCGTTTAATAAAACTGTCTTGTAAAATATGTAGCTTGCTGCAAAATGCTACCGCGAAGTGGGCGATGAAGCAAAGACCTTTTCCTTAGAAAAGACCGTTGAATTAGCTGTTACGGAAGGTGACGGCGACGCAACTGCAGGTAAAAAAAACTTTTTTAATTTTCCGGTCTAAACTTAAATTATTTGCAAATGAATTCGATTGCAATTACACAGAAATACGCTACAGAAGTACACACAGACTACATTTTTACTTATATTATATAATTCTGCTACCTCAAACCTGACACTTTTGCATTAAATAACATACGTAGGTACATTTATTCCAAATAGGTACTTTATATTTGTTGCATTCATTATCTTTCTTTCTTATAATGGGTGGAACTCACGCCTATTCCTATCCAAATGATTGGGTCTTCAATTTAAATAATATCAGAGTTTGTTTTTTACTTAAAGGTTTAAACAGCCCTTTAGTGCGTGCTCGTTTAGCCATCTTCTCTGGAGATCTTGCTTCTGCTGAAGAGTTTTATGCGAAGAGAGCCGGGCAACCCGAGCTAGCTATCGATATGTATAAGAAGTTCAATCGGTGGAGCGACGCTGTGGCACTCGCAGAGAGAACCGACCGTGGATCTGTGCCGATGTTGAAGCAACAGCATATGGACTATCTCACCTCTACTGGTAATTCTTTGATCAATTTTAAGTTTAAGCTAAAGAGTTGATCTACGAAGAATGCGAAAGTATTACTTTTTAAATGAATTAAACTTATGATAATCTGATCAATATGTATAAAATGACGTCATCGCATGCCCTAAACTAATTGTTATAAGTAGTATACAATTTATTTTAAAATAAAAATCCACTCATAGTATAAAAAGTGACAACTTTTTCTGGAGGTCAGTGGTACCTGGTTTTGATAATTTGTGTTCCATATAGGCACAGCGGTGACACTCTGTGTACGTGAGAGTTCCAGCGTCAGTGACCTTGAGCAGGAGCGTATGCGCTAGGGTTGAACTTGGAATTTAGACTTGTACCAATGAATATTTATGCATAGTAAGTTATTAAATGTAAACTGATTCAAGGATACTGGGGTAAATAATGAAGGATAGGTTTGATTTTATAATCAATTTTTAATCTTTTAATATAGGTACTATAACAAATTGCCAACTTTTATATATTTTCTCCTTTTTCGATTCGTTTTATAATTCTTATTATGTATTATCTAAATATTATTATTTAAGATTGCGTAGCGTAGTCAGTCTGTGCGTGCAATGCAGTGCAACGCTATTATTTTACTATTTCGCTACTGCCATCCCTTCGGTCGAGGCAGTCGGCGACTGCCCTCTCCACGCCCCGCGCGCCGCGCAACGCCCCCGCACACCTCCAGACACCCACACATAGCCGCGGGCGATTTTACGAGCACACATGCTTAAGTGTCGCTTCTTTTCGCGTAGTGTATATATTCTGTGATATAGGTCGATTAGGTGAAGCAGGGGCGGCGTTAGCTGCGTCAGGTGACGTGCAAGGAGCAGTACGGTTATGGCTCAAGGGAGGCCGCGCGAGGCGAGCGGCTGCTTTGTTGGTGCAACACTCCTCACTGCTTCGTGACAACGAGCTGGTCGACGCTGTCCATACTCAGCTCATACAGGTACTGATATTAACTGCTGGGGCACAGACCTATACTATGAATGGGATAGGGAAATTGGGCGCTAACGACTGCAGGTGCAGCCGAGACCAACCACTTATTTTAACCATTCGAAGCACGGAGAAGCGCGTGACAGCAAATTTTTGACCACCCATCCAATGATCGACCACTGCGAAAGTTGCTTTACTTCAATAACCGCAGCCGCATGTGCTAACCATTTGCACCATCGAGCTCCTTAGATACTGATATAGGTAGCGGTAAACCTCTTAACCTAATGTTGTCTTTGTCTTCTTTTTAGCACACAAAAGTGACAGCATCAGTTTTACTCCAGGCCTAACATTATTCGACATTCTGTAGTAAGGCCGATTAGGTTCAAGATACACTGTCAAAGAGCGCTCGACGATTTATACATATACCTAGTCAGGTCATAAATTCTGTCACATGTTTAATATAAAATAATTGAAACAAGTTTATTCATTATGTAACCATTTATATACCAAAATGAACTTAACAAAACATAGATTCTTATGACAATAAAGTTTATTCAAAATGACCTCCCTGATTTTGAATACAGGCCTTCAATCTGCGCGGCCAGTCGTCTATCGCAGCACGAACGAGGTCCATGTCAATATCGGCGGCTGCCTTAATCAAGGATGTCTTGAGTGACTCCAAATTGGGATGAGGCTTTGAGCACGCCTTTTCCTCCAAGTGTTAGTCTTGTAATCTAACGGACTTAAATCTGGACTGGAGGAGGGCCAGTCTTCGTGCCGGATGGAGTCGATTTCTCTCAAATTTTCTCAGTCTTGTGTGCTCTTCGTTCTATGAGCTGGCACCGAATATTGTTGGAATACCCAGTGCCTGTTATTGAACATGGTATGAGAAACAGTTTCTACAAGGTTCTTCAGGATTGTATTTTGATACACAACTGCATTCGTTTTTACACCTTTCTCACAAAAATGTACCTCTGTTAAGCCCCAATAAGAAACTCCCAACCATACCAAGAGCAAGGATGGAAAATGACGTCGTTGGACACGCGGAATACGGTTGCTCGCTTCTTCACTACTGTGTGCGTACACCTTAGCATTTGTTTGTTGTAGCTCTCTTCTACGGTAAACCGCTTTTCCCGCGTACCGCTTCAACAAAGCGCGGCATCTCTTCAGTCTCAGGAGCATTCAAACGATGTTCTGTTTTTCTTCGATATGCCCGAAGCCCTAAGTCTTCATTTAACACCCTTTTCACCGTGGTTCTGCATAAACCCATTTGAAGGGCCAACAGTTTCTGCTTACGTTTGGGATTTCTTTGAATTTGCGCCTTCACAGCTTTTATCACTGCTGGAGTCCTAACAGACCGAGGGTGACCACTTCTTGACCTGTCATCTATACTAGAGTCTTCATTGTATCGTTTGATGGTACGATAAACGAATCTTTGGGTTATATTCAAAATTTTCAGTATGTCAAAAATTTGAATTGGCGCGTAACCGCCACGATGCAACGCAATAACTGCAACACGGTCTTCTTTAAGCGTCCACTCCATATTTAAAAATGAGTAAAATTCTAAAAAGTATACATTTTTATTTTCATGAACAATTCGAAATTCGAATACAATAAACTTTTTTGTTGCCAGCAATCTAAAAGAAAAGTTTTTACTGTGTGACAATACTTATGACCTGACTGTGTAGAATAGCACAATAGCAAAAGAAGCCGCATGCATCAAGCTGGCGAATGCCCTCCGGCGGCGGCCCTTAGAGGTAAACTTCAGACACCTGCAGGACTTCGCGTGTAAATAACATAGAACCTTTATTATAAGAACACTAAACAAGTTACAAATAAATAAACCTTAAAAAAACGGACATGTGCTGTTCACATGCGATAAAAGTGAAACCTGCAAAAATGTGAACACGTAAAAGTATTTCTTTTGTTATGTTTTTCTTATCGTAGGTTTTCTTGTTCGTGGGAGAGCCACGCAGTAGCTTAGGCTACTGCATGAATGGGCCGGCTCGACCGGAGGAATACCTCGACCTCACAGAATACCGGCGTGAAGCAGTACTTTGTACTGTGTTTCGCCGAGTGAGTGAGGCTACCGGAGCCCCCCCCCCCTTTCCTCATGATGGCGCAGTTAAATAGGATAATACCCCAGGGGGTACCAGCTGTTTTCACGCTGGAGAATCCCCCTCTGGACGTCCATGCCCAGAACTGTCTCCTTCTGGACGTGGACGTCGAGGCTGCCCTTCGTATTCTGGGGAGGGCGAAACCGCGCTCATTACCGAAACTGCTCGAGGCCAGAGCAAGCGTCATACGTCACCCCCTGCCATGTTTAACGTGGATTTCTGCAATATCAGGGGCTTACACTCCAACCTTAATGCTGTTCACTACCACCTTCAGACAGTGCAGCCGGCCTTGCTTTTTTTCACTGAGACGCAGATATCCTCTCCAGCCGACACTTCCTACCTCCAGTACCCTGGGTATACTTTGGAACATTCGTACCGCGGGCTGGGGTATGTGTGTACGTTAAAGAGGGTATCAGTTTCCGTCGCCTCAGCAACTTTGAAGGTAGGGACCTCTCCATCTTATGGTTGCGTGTAGACGTCGATGATCATCCCCGCGTCTACGCCTGCCTCTACAGGTCCCATAGCGGAAATGCCGAAACTGACCGACTCTTTGATCACGTCCAGGTGGCTACAGACTCCGTGCTTCAGCAGATCCCATCATCTGAAATTGTGATCCTTGGCGATTTCAATGCCCACCACTCCGAATGGCTTGGATCGTCCACTACCGATCATGCAGGCAGATCTGCTCATGACTTCGCCTTGGGCTATGGTCTGACACAACTGGTCACCTCGCCTACGCGAATCCCAGATGTCGAAGACCATACACCTTCACTGTTGGACCTTCTTCTGACTTCACATCCGGATTATTACAAAGTGTCCATAGATGCCCCTCTTGGCTCCTCGGACCATTGTCTTATCCGGAGTATGGTACCACTCACTTACTCACCGCGGCCGCAATTTGCTGGCTGTCGTCGTGTGTGGCATTATAAGTCAGCAGACTGGGATTGGATGCGCACTTTATTTTCATCCTACCCTTGGGGCCAGGTTTGCTTCTCGCAGAATGATCCCAACGTCGCTGCCGATTCTGTCGCCGATGTTGTCCTTCAGGGTATGGAACTTTTTGTTCCTTCCTCTGTGGTTCCCATTGGTGGCAAATCCCAGCCTTGGTTTGGTCACTACTGTAAACTGGCATCTCGCCAAAAACTGATGTGTTATCAGGCCTGGGCAAACGCAGCGGCGGTCGGGGATAACAACACTAGCGATCTCAAAAAGAAGTATAACTTGGCCTCCAGGTCCTGCAAAAGAGTAATTGCCAGAGCGAAGTCAGAGCACATTAGTAGCATTGGCGAGAGATTAATAAAACTTCCCTCTGGAACACGCGCGTTTTGATCTCTTGCCAAGGCTGTTGAAGGAAATTTTTGTAAGCCATCCCTTCCACCCCTGCACAATGGCGACGAATCGATGGCCCATACTGCAAAAGAGAAAGCGGATCTTTTATGCTCACTCTTTGCGTCTAACTCGACTTTAAATGACAGGGGATACATCCCGCCGACCATCCCGCGGTGTGAGAGCTCTATGCCGAAGATCCGGTTCACAGAAAGCTTAGTGCGTAAAGCACTCTTTTCCCTTGTCATCTACAAGTCGAGCGGGCCTGATGGAATCTCACCAATTGTGCTGAAGACGTGTGCTCCTGAGTTGGCTCCGGTACTAACGCGTCTTTTCCGGCTCTCCTATTCTTTAGGTGTCGTTCCGAACTCATGGAAGACAGCTTTAGTGCACCCGATTCCTAAAAAAGGCGACCGCTCTCTCCCTACTAATTATAGGCCTATAGCCATCACCTCCTTGTTCTCCAAGATAATGGAGTCTATTATAAATTGCCAGCTCCTGCGGCACCTAGAGGACCACCAGCTGATCTGTGACCACCAGTACGGTTTCCGTCAGAGTCGCTCGGCTGGTCTACTAGTATACCTGACTCATCGTTGGGCAAAGGTGATCGAGACCAAGGGGGAAGCATTGGCGGTCGGTCTGGATATCGCGAAGGCCTTCGATCGGGTTTGGCACAAAGCGCTTCTTTCGAAGCTTCCTTCTTATGGGCTTCCTGAAAAGCTGTGCGGTTGGATCACTAGCTTTCTTGCGGACAGGAGCATCAAGGTCGCAGTCGACGGTGCATGCTCGGACTCCAAATCCGTAAACGCTGGTGTTCCACAAGGCTGTGTGCTATCGCCTACGCTGTTTCTTCTTCATATCAATGATATGCTTCAAATTGATGGCATTCATTGTTATGCAGACAGCACGGGTGATGCCCTATATACCGGCCGCGCCAACATTTCACGGGAAAACGTCATCGAGTGCCGGAACAAACTTGTGTCTGAAGTCGAAACTTTGTTAAACCAAGTAACGAATTGGGGCCGACTTAATCTAGTCCAATTTAACCCTACGAAGACACAAGTATGCGCGTTCACCGCAAAAAAAATACCATTTGTCGTATCTCCTCTTTTTGAGAACACTCTTCTAACTGCCTCAGCTAGTATTGGAATTCTTGGCGTTGACATATCGAGCGACTTCAAGTTTCGGGATCATTTAGAGGGCAAGGCCAAATTGGCCTCTAAGAAGCTTGGTGTGCTCAATAGATCGAGAATGTACTTCACACCGGCCCACCGACTGCAGGTTTATAAGGCACAGGTTCGGCCTCACATGGAGTACTGCTCTCATCTTTGGGCGGGGGCACCCCAGTACCAGCTTCTCCCTTTGAATCGCATCCAGCGCCGAGCGGCTCGAATAGTCGACGACCAGGCCTTTCCGATCAGCTTGATCCTTTGGCTTTGCGTAGGGATGTAGCTTCGCTCTGCATCTTCTATCGCATTTATCACGGGGAGTGTTCTGAGGAATTGTTCGGATTAATCCCAGCTGCTGCATTTCGCCATCGTACATCGCGACAAAAATTTCATCCCCATCATCTTGATGAGTGGCTATCCACAACCGTGCGTTTTTGTCGAAAATTTTTACCACGTACGACAAAACTGTGGAATACGTTGTCGCCAGCAGTGTTTCCGGACCGATACGACTCAAAAACCTTCAAAAAAAGAGCGTACTCCTTCCTTAAAGGCCGGCATCGCATTTGTGATACTCTTGGTGTTGCAAGTGTCCATGGGCGACGGTGATCATTTACCATCAGGTGAGCCGTCTGCTCGTATGCCCCCTATAACATAAAAAAAAAGAAAAAAAATATAATAAATTACTGTAAAAATATTGCAAACATTGGAAAGATATGGATTGTTGATAAAAACCAAGCCTGTATAAATAATCACAACGGTGCTAAAGAAGTTTTCACTTCAAACTGTAAATTTAAACCAAACTCTAACTCTAAATATGTGAGTAAGTTTTCAGTAAAAGTAATTAAAATAGAATTTAAACTAAAAAACCTTGCAAAAGTATAAATTAACTGATCTTTTTTTTATAAATTAGAAGTTGACCCGGCGAACTCCTAGCCGCCGAAAAGACGATGAATGTGGTTATTTTCAAAAAGAATAAGCTTCATTAAATTAATGACTGAACAGAACCGCTATATAACAATACAAATAAAAGTTCAATAGTTTATTAGGATAATAGATATAGAGCAAATGAAATTTCAATATGGTGTACTTCAATGGCGTATCAGCAAAATTTAACACGGGGTTAAATGGTTTCCAGGTATTTGCCCAATATCTCCAAACACAGCCATCCCTTCATCTTTCAGTAGGTATCGTATGACTTCTCAGGAAATTAGGAATGGTTCTATATGTTAGGAAACTAAAACCATATGGATTAAAATTTATACTCCATCATATAAGTAGAAGGCGAGAAGAACCATACGAACCATAGGGGCAAAGAAGAAAGACTAAGAAACAATTTGTTGCGAGTCAAAAAAGTACGCGCGGTGGAGGCTATTTCACGCGTATTATCCAGTACCGGACTGCATTTGATCTGTGGCATTTGATTCGTAACGCACTCGATATCGGCGGCTCACGGCAGTGATTGACGCCAAATGATGGCTGATGACGGTAAAAAAGATATACCGAACGAATGCGAACGTGGAAGTGGTCGATCGGCATGATGCTTATTCAGTTGCTACTTTTCATCGGCAATATTGCGAAAGAGATCAGTATTATGTCTTAACCTTTAGTTTGTAAGCTGAGAAGGTATTAGAAGCATCAGGGGATGTGCGAGGAGTAAAATGCATCACAACGGATGTCTAAACTATCTCGGTTTTTTAACAGGAAGAATGGTGGGAGATGGCTGGTGAAATATCGGAGAGAAGAGGTGACAGCAAAACTGCAGTGGAATATTACGCGAAGGGACGCAATTACTCGAGAGCAGTGCAGCTCGCCCGAGAGGTTTGAAATACAATTTCTTAACTTTCTATTGTGAAAAGATATGCTCTAAAAAGATTAATTTCTGTTCAGAGCTCCTCCACATATTTACTAAGAATCAATTCTTGATAATAATCAAATCTTAATCGAAACTGATTCTTCTTCTCTGATACTTCTTTCTTCTGATCGAATATAATGCAAGCATTTTAATTTATGTTTCTTATTTTACATTTACCAATCATCTGTGAATCTGTTGCGTTATACAAATGCGTCTTAATAAAAACTTTATACCCCAGTCTATAAATATATATACCGTGAATTTTGGGTTACCTGAGAAACTCTACCAGCTAATTCAAGAACGATTTAGATTTTCTACTGATATAATTTTTTTCGAAAATATATCCAGGTTAACTCACAATTTCTGCAATTGAAACCTTAACCATTTTAATTGTTATAAAATGATTCAAATATAACTACTTTATGTACTACGATATGTTATTTACTTTGGGCCGTTTTTTTGATATTTTGTAAACGATATTAATCGATATGTTTGTATGGGGGTGTAGTACATTTACTGTTTATGACTGTTCGCACTATGTTCATTTTTACGATTTTTAAGTTTCTCAGGTAACTATAAACTAAAAACGATTACGGTGAAGTATCGTATAGTAAATACTTCACCGCAATCGTTTTTAGTTTGAAATTAAACAATAAATAGAACAGTTATATGTCCAACGATTTATCATTTATTAGAAAAACAATATATATCTCATTCAACTCTCACACAAGTGCAGTTTCAATATTACATTACGGACAAACATTTAAATCAGTTTTGAGGTATAAACACTAATGGTCAACCTATTAGAAACAACAACAAAAGAGTATAAAATATGATATTTTTTATAATTATTAGTAACTAGTATTGTTATTTACGAAATGGCTACTATCCACAGCCTACCAAAAGTTATAATTGATATTTAGTGGCGTATCCCTTATTTCCAATAACAGTACTGCAACGAAGTGGTATTAATCATAATCAAAATCATTTATTCAGTTTAGGCTATTACAAGCACTCATGAATGTCTAGAAGCTACGCCATCGGTTCGTAAATCTACGGCGGGAGTCCTTGTACTGAGAAGAGCCGGCAAGAAACTCAGCAAGGGCTGTTTTTCTCTCCCTGTTTTATTATTTACAGAGTCGTCAAATTGAAAAATGACTTCTGAGATGATTCATGAAGTCACCTTTCATTACATAATTATTAAATATACTAAAGAAAAGCTTACTAGAAAAAACATCTAGCAGTTAAATGCTTAAAAAATAAATAAAATCATAATATTAAATATACATTAATTGTTTACCTGCATTTTGATTGCTGAATCATACAGTATAAATACAAATAGTGTTATCTATATTAAGTGTGACTAAACATTAACTTCATTATTAAGGAAGTTAATATTGAACTAGCCATCGCTTCGCTCAACCATATTTTAGGGAACGTAACGATCCGCCTCACACGACACCGCCGAAGAGACTATTAAGAGAGCATGACTACCCGTAACTACCCATACTAACTACAACATATTTACTTAAATTAAGGTCATTTACCTGTAGGACACCACAAACAATTACAAAAACAAAGCAATGGAGAAAATCACGACCACGCCGTTTTATCAATCAAACATTTTTAAACAGTCTGATAATCTTCCTTAAGTTATCAACTTTATATACAGCTTCCAAATTTAATTATAGTATTGTCAACACATAATTCATAATTTAAATCATATAGAAATACCCGTTGGAATGGTTGGAACAGTTCATACCCAAGCATTTTTGTCTGTAATATAATCAGACACTTTATAATATGCTTTCTTAACTAGTGATTTTTTAATGGTCGATTTAAATTTAGTCATGCTTAACTCTTGAATATTACTTGGAACTTTATTGTAAAAGCGAACACTAAGACCTCTAAACGAATTATTGCTTTTGTGGAGCCTAGTAGCAGGTAAAGTTAAGTTATTTTTATTTCTAGTATGATGTGTATGTATTTCACTGTTTTTAGTAAACAAATTAATATTTTTTTTTACAAACACTAAGTTGTCATATATGTATTGTGATGCAACTGTCAATATGCCTATTTCTTTAAGCTTATCTCTTAATGAATCCTTAACTTTAAGATTATAAATTGATCGAATAGCCCTCTTCTGCAGCACAAATATAGTTTGAATGTCGGCGGCATTTCCCCACAGTAAAATACCGTAAGACATTACACTATGAAAATAACTAAAGTAGACTAATCTGGCAGTTTCTATATCCGTTAACTGCCGTATTTTCATTACAGCATATGCTGCAGAACTAAGTCTCTTCGACAATCTATCAATATGTGGGCCCCACTGCAGTTTAGAATCTAGTGTGATTCCTAAGAACACTGTGGTATCTACAGGGCTCATATGTCGATCCTTTATATTTACATTAGTTTTTACCTGTTTGACATTAGGTAATACAAATTTCAAACACTTATTTTTCCCTTCATTTAGCATCAAATTATTTACATTGAACCAGTGGACTACCTTCGAAATAGACCTGTTCACGTCGTCAATTTGTGACTGCCTACGTTTAATTTTAAACAAAAGTGAAGTGTCATCCGCAATCAATTCTATTTCGTGGTTATCCTTTACAAAATAGGGCAAGTCATTGATATAAATTAAAAATAAGAAAGGACCAAGGATTGAGCCCTGCGGAACTCCCATCTTAACCGACGAACCAGGAGATTTTACTCCATTGATGTCAACCCTCTGAACCCTATTACTCAAATAAGATACAATAAGATCCAGAGTGGTATCTCTAAATCCATGGTGGTGAAGTTTCCTGATAAATGTTTCATGAAAAACAATGATTCAATCAATTTCATACTTATTTCTAGGGCATCTAGGGGAATTAAATTTCATGCTTCAACAAATGCTTCATATAGTTCGTTTTGACTGGTGTTACGTTTGTTTGAGACTTTCTTTTTAACAATATACCAGAGAATTTATATGGGGTTTAAATCCGGACTATTTGCTGGCCAGTCTAAAACGGATATACGCTGTTCGCTAAGAAAACATTTGACGCTATTGGCCGTGTGTTTACGGTCTTGAACTCTTGACGAGATGTTTCTCGTGTCATCAGGCGAAAAAAACTTCATTGTTAATCTGGTTGGAGCCTTTACTTGGATCTTGGATTAGCGTAACTTCTCTGGAAGAGGTTTTTCTTGGCCGAGCCTTTCTAAGAACATTTTTAACGCTTCCATGTGTTTAATAATGATCAATTGCAATTAAAACTTTCTCAGAACAATTTAAATGCTCAGCTATTTTGCTGTACGCCCACTTATGATCTATATGTAAATTAACAATAATTTGCCTAGTTGACGTGTCACAACTTTTATTTTTGCCCATTTTGAACAAAATAAAATTCAGATTAAATTTTGAATTGCCGCCAAAATAATAGAAAAAGCCAAGAAAGAAATGTTATTCTCCAACTTCCAAACAAGAACGAGCTATGTATGCTTTTTTAAAATGTTTCTAATAAGGCGTCTAAGCGACCAGTAACAAAAATAAACTCCTACACATGTAAGTGATTTCGTAATTAAAAGTAACATATGTTTTATATTTTATGCATTTAATGAGTTTTCTAATTGAGAGGCTATTATTGCTTGATTTTAATTATTGAATGTATATATTTTTTTACGAACATTTGTACGTTGAAGTTATACTTTCTTTATTCATAAGAAGTGTGTCTTATTAAATGACCCCCACTGCATTTGTCCTACAAAATTTGAGATCATGAAAAAATATGTAGGTAATGAAACATTACCTAATATCCATTAGCAAAAATATCCGACAGTGAGCAAATATTATATCTATCCTATATCCCATAAACATTTATTAAGTTTCTGGGAACATTAAAATGTCATATGTCAGAAATGTATATCTTTTTACGATACAATCATTTCTTTATTTGGGTATCCAGGCATGTCCTGGTGAAGTGACTAGTTTGGAAGGCCAGTGGGGTGCGTGGCTAGTGGGTTCAAGACAAGCGGGTGCGGCGGTGCCTCACCTCATAGAGGCGGGCGATACGCGCGCCGCTCTCGCCGCTGCACTCAAGGCTCACCATTATAGGAAGGCGCTGCAGATCGTACAGGTACAGGCTTTATCTCTTCGTGAAGCATATTCGGGAGATAAGATTAGTAAAGCGCGTTAAAGAGCTTGGCTGGCTGGCGCTAGGACAGCAACCTTGTTCACACAAATTAACGACTACGGAATCTACGTAACAAGGAAGCAGACTACCAAGGTCTGTGGAGTCAGTACAAGCGGGCGCGGCAGTGACTCACCTGATTTAGGCGAGGGATACGCGCGCCTCCAGATGGAGCTTGGATGGCTGTGCTAGATCCGTGACCAACACCAGCAATCGACCAACTACGGATTCTACTTTAGGAAAGGGTGTATCAGTAACAGGGAAGCAGACTACCGAGGTTTGTGGAGCCAGAACAAGCGGGCGCTGCGGTGTCTCCCTTCATTGAGGCGGGCGATACGCACGCAAGGCGTACCACTATATCAAGGCGTTGCAGATCGTGCACTTCACTTCACAGACAGCCTGGAGACTATTGCGTTTCTCGAAGGAGCTTGACTGACTGTGCTGGCTTACCAACCTGCACGCTCTATGCACCAATTGCGGAGGTAACGTATTGAAATGCGTGCCATTTCCAAGTAGCATGTAAGACTCAATGACAAAGTCCGTAAGTTCGACATAAGCGGGCGTGGCATGTTCTAAATAATTACTTTTGACACAGAAATTTAAGCAACGCCTACACAACTAACACCCAGACCCTTCGATCGCCGATATCAAGTCAATGTCCATATTCCCTGCATGTTTACTAAAGTCAAATTTTTACACTGACTGACTTTAGACATGCTGACAACATGTCTAAAGTCATGAACATGATTAGCAATTCATAACTCAGTACTAGGTTTCCGTAAAAACCTTCTAATTTGATATGTCTCACAGGTCATCGATGACAAGGAGTCGATAAAAAAGGAGTGTGAGCAGCTTGGAGATCATTTTATATCTACACAAGTAAGCAAGTTTTTTTATTAGATATAAAGTTTCTCTGCTATTTAATTAGTCATGTCATAAATTAAGTAAATTCAAGCGAGCAAATTCCAAGCAGCATTATTCGGCGATAGTTACCAACATAAAAACCGAATGATGCTAGATGTACATCTACTACGACTGTTATATATCTTAAAATGAAAACTGACCAAATAGGATAATTTTCTAGTACTGTATTAAAGTTAGATGGGGTTAATGTAGGCAACTCGTGGGTCCGCCGATTGGGCATACGTTAGCCGGCGCCCTGCGCATTGTGGTTCGCTCAATTATGGCGAGACAAAGTTCCCGGGAGTTTAATAGAGTATTCCCGTCTATTTCTTTAGCAGGGTGAGTCCCACACATCTTCACCCCATGATGAAGATATTCTAGTACATGTTTTTTTATTTATTTAACAAAAATTTTACATACGAAATTACATTATATATGCCAAACTGCAACGCAGGTTGTCGGCAGAGTTCTCGTAGATACATTATTATATTTATAATCAACATACTATAATATAATGCATTTTAACTTTTCTATGACAGAGAACCAAAAATACATAATAAGAAAAAAAGAGACTGCATTCAACCGTATTACAATTATAATTGTAAAATATATTCTTTTCGTAAAGGAATGGGAGACAGCAGAACGCGTTTTGAGCTCCTGCGGTATGGGAGAGCGTTGCGTACGCGCATACAACTCAGCAGGTCGCGTCTCGGACGGTCTCAGAATGGCAGCGGCTCATCTCACCGAGGAAGAAACGAGGGACATATACTTGCCACTTGCGCAGCAATTACGCGACGACGGCCAGTTTAGGAAAGCCGAGCAGATATACATCGGCTTAGGGGAGGCTGATGAAGCTATCTCAATGTATAAGGTAGGAGAAGATAGTGTAGGAAGGCCAAAGGGGAAGATCTTCCTCAGAGCTGGGTGATATTAGCTCGGGGGCTGCGGCCGGACTGTTTTTGGTTGGGCATCGTATATATATGAACTGTTGGCTGCCTAATTTCACTTGCGCGATGTAGGCTTCCTTACGTTGTGAACGCAGCGCCAGTAGCGCCATTTCTGGAGGAGGCGAGTGTTTATTTCCTCCATGTTAGTTGTATGTGGGGCATATAGATGTTACCGCCACAATAGTATTTGATTTTATATATTTGATAGTATTCACCACCTGACCTTAAAGCTGAACTGGCTAGAAGCGAAAGCTTGATGGCACATTGGTCCTTCGTGCCTCGAATACATTATGACATAAAATATCTCATAACACGACTCCCAACGCTCAATCTACGTGACGCTGCAACGTCCCCAACGTCCCAACGTTTTCGACACATTCACGAGACGCGGAATATGTTGCTGGCTTCCGCTCCGTTTCGACATGTGTTTCGCGTTATTGTCGCGTCGTTTGTTCCAAAGTATAGTCGTGTGCGCAACGTACCTTTCAACAAATCAAATGAATTTACGTATTTACCACCTCTTTTGCTTACCTTTCTCTCCCGTCATAAGTATATAACAAGCAATAATCGCCACAATCTCCTCATGCGACATTTCGATAAGTACTGACTAGTGTTGCTAGCGGGGTCGGCAAAATGATTCGCAACATTTGTCCCGAGACATTTCACGTAGTTGTTGCACGTCTTGTTCCGCAACATGTTGCAGTATTTGATGTTAGTGCATACGAGGCTTCCGTCTGCGATGGTGGAAGCTAAGCAATTTTCACAATAGCGGGTTCACAAACAGTATTTATTGTCTCTTGCTCCTCAGTGCTTCGGAAGGCCTATCATTTAATCATAGCTTGTAAGAGTATAGCGATTAACCGAATTATCAATTTTATGCTTAAAGTAATTGCTTTGATCCTGAATCCTGTATCTTTCAAAATAGAGATATTAAGCATGCGCTTATTATAAATACTGTATATTTACTGTTTGCTCCACCTACTACCTAAATAACTATGTAATTTTATCAATAGAAAGACACTTATTAAATACATAGGCGTCGTCCTAAATGGCAATGACCGTGCGATGGTGTGGTGTGATCTCATGGTGCGATGAAAATAATGTATCTGTGCTAGTGCGACGGCTTACGAGCTGTCTTAAGTCACCTATGAAGAAATCTGTATATTTGAAAATCATCGCACCACGAGATCGCATCGTGTCATCGTATGATCATAACCAATTTAGACGACGCTTTATAATGTATCCAAGCGTTTCGCACTAACTGTAGATTATTTCATTTTCCATGTCCAATTTAGGAGGCATCTCAGTACGAGGCCATGTTGCGTCTAGTGGCCGCACACCGCAGCTCGCTACTGGAGGCGACACGACGACACGTCGCTCAAGCGCTGCAGGCGTCTGGCGATCTGAGAGCTGCAGAAAATTATTATATAGAAGCTGGTGCGTAAATAAACAAAAGGAAAGTTGCCAGAAGAATCGTTCCAGTCATTTTCGAAATTCATCAAATGATAGGCGTTCTATCTATTCTTGTTTGACAGCCCTTTTTGTCGACATGACAGATTCAAGTTTTTAATACTTACTTTTATTTAAAAAATGACCTAACCAATTTGTTTTTGTAATATAGGAGCAAAAAATTCGAGATTATTGTATTTTTTATTAAGTAATGCTCTATGGTACCAACATTAAAAGCGACGAACGCACGTTCGGGTGGAAATAGTGGACTTTAAGCAATTTTTCGGTTTAGCAAACGACAAACATTTATTTATCTTGAGCTTCATCGTATATCAGAAAACAAGTCAAGGAGTTGATCGCAGCTCGGATAGAACTCCTTGATACTTTTGGCTCATGTGGTGGGATCATACCAGTTCATAATGATGTGTGCAGTAAGAAATTGAGTGCAATGATAATATAAAAACGATGAATTAACAGGTGATTGGAAAAGCGCTATTCAGATGTATCGCACCGCTGGGCAGTGGGAAGGCGCTGAGAGAGTGGCGCGAGCTCATGCTCCCAGCGCGGTTCAACAACAGGTTAGTTTTTATAATGATTCTTACGTTATTAGTACAGCCGAAGACTTGATAAAGACTACATACAAATATACTAATATCTCTCTTTTCACTATGTAATAGGGATATTGTCGGGGTAAAGTAAACGAAATTCTATTTAGTCTTCTAGTTATCAAAAAATAATGTAAGACTATATTCTTTTCTAAATCAACCAAAATATTACAAAGATAAAGCACGCCAAAGTTTGAGAATAAGGGCTTATGACGTCAAATTTAAAAAAAATTGTACCTAACAAGACGTGACACCAAGCAACATTTCAAATCAATATATTTCTGCAATGTTTTGATAATGTGGATAAAGTAAAAATTGGTGTCAGTACTTTTTGATAATCTACCTGATAGACAGAGAAAAAAAACAATTGTCATTAATACAAATAAACTTTAATATAGCCTTGGGGCTTACACTGTACATGACCATTTATCGATAAGGTGGTGCTTCAATGGGCTGGCGCGTTGGGTGGAGCACCAGCTGCAAGACTTTTGGCTGCTAGGGGACTAGCAGCACTCGGGGCAAGGTGGGCCCTGCAAGCTCAGAGGTGAACAAAATTGCCAGTTCAAAATACATTCTAGCATTTCTATCGCACAAAAACAAGCCTGATAATGGAACATAACCAAACTTGTTTCTTAGGTTTTCACGCACATCACTCATTAAATAAAACTAGTTTTATTTAATAACTAGTTTTATAAATAAAACTAGTTTTATAAATAAAACTAGTTTTATTTAATAACCAAACTTATTATACCTGTCGTCAAAATTCTTGAGTAAAACCATACAGAAATAAAGTTGCGCAGTAGATGTTTCTGTATTGCAAATTGCTACTACGTTAATTTGGGTGTCTGCGGTTGATGCTCAAGAAGTTTGCCGCGAAGTATACTAAACGTTTAATTTAATGTTTTGTGTAAGGATGTGTAACACTTTTTCACTCGGATGTTTTTTACTTAGCTATAGTAAGGTAAAACGAAACGGTAATATCATAAATTTTGGCTGTAGATGGGATATTGCGCTAGAGTTGAGCGATTTAGGTGGTGGCATCACAAAACGGGAGGTGGCTAGGCACGAGGCAGCCGCACTGGCTGAGGAAAGGCCCGAGGAAGCTGAAGCAGCGTTCCTACGTGCTTCGGCACCTGACGATGCTGTGCGCATGTGGCTATCCAGGGGACAGCATCAGAGGGCTTTAGCTTTAGCCGAGCAACATGCTATTCATATGGTGAGAGAACTACAATATATACACCCAAACATAAGCTAGTTAGGTTTTTAAAAAGGCAGACGTAGCATTCCTATATGCTTCGACGAAGGATGATGCTATGCGATTCTGGCTCTCCAGGAGACAGCATCAGAAGGCTAAAGCTTTAGTCGTGCAATATTCTACTTATATGGTGAGAGAATTACAGTTCATTCATTTAAACGTTAGGGAGCTATACGCTTCAGCCTCGGATAATGCTGTCCGCATGTGGCTATCCAGTGGACAGCATCAGAGGGCTTTAACTTTAGCCGAGCAACATGCTACGCATATGGTGAGAGAACTACAAAATTGCTCAAAGAGGCCCCCCGAGGAAGCTGTTGTAGCATTTCTACGAGCCTCGGCACCGGATGTATCTAGTACGCATGTGCCTGTCCAGGGAACAGTATTAGAGATTGTAGATTTTTCAAACCAGCCCTATGAATGACAAAAAGATAGCTAACCATTTCATTACTGGGACTGAGAAATAGTTATGATTAAATATTGTATAAAACTGGTGTATATGTGATTCATGTTTCTAAATGTTGGTGATGATGATAAATAAAAGAGTTTTATAAGGTGGAAGAAGTGCTTGTTGAGGGAGCGCGTGCTGCAGCGGAGAGAGGAGATCTGGCACAGTTTGAAACGCTTATGATCCGTGCCAACCGACCCAGGGAAGTCGTACAACATTACAAAGAACTCGGTAAGTGCTCGTTCACATTAAAACTGACGACATTCAATTAAAAATATTGAGTATTGAGGAGCTCGATGGCGCAGCAGTCACTGCGTTCGGTTATGATCGTGGGAGTTTTGCAACTATCGCAATTTTCGGTCATAGGATAGGTGATCAAAAATTTATTGAATTGAGCTGGTCTTTGCTTCGGAAGACACTCTATGCCTTTAGTCCCGGGTGCATCTGCAGTCGTTAGCTTCCACCAAACCGCACTGGGCATACCAGGTGGATTTAGGTCAATTCTTCTTATTCTATCCATAGGGAAAGCCTGATTCCCAACAGTGAGGACATTAATAGGCTGATTATGATGTTAATATTTAATGAACGTTTACGATGCATTAACAAATTTTATAATCAATTATTTAATAGATTCTTTCAACATCCTTTTTATAGTAGTAGTGCTGTTGAAGTAGCTATTGGTATCGATTGTGGCATGATTTTCTAATAGATGTAAAATAACATTCTGTATAGAGAATGACACTGACACATTAGGTTTAGAGAATCACGTCAGAATTGACACCGTCAGCTAGTTTCAAATCTCTGCAGTAAAATTCTTCCGAATTTGCAGAATTATGGGAGGAAGCGTCACGTGTCTCCCGCGAATATTTGCCAGAGGGCGGTGAGCCAGTGCCGCCTTCCGTGCCGCCGTTGCTGCAGCAGGCCGCTGAACACGCCGACAGGTCAGTACAATGAATTAGAAATAATATGGAATACGAATTCTGCTAAAAAGTGGTTCCACAAACTGCGATGAACTAGGTGGGAAGAAACACTCCGACTAACACGCCGATCACGGGATTGGTTGGGATTTCCCTTTAACATTATCTTACAGTAGAAGATACGAACCTACATCGACCTTCACCGAGTAAATAATAGAATGAAACACATTTTATCATGAATTTAGTATATTAGAAAATATATTTAAAAAAAGTTGCCTAAAAATCCTGGACAGAATATTTTTTTTAAAAGCGCGGTGTCGTGCGGGAGTAGCGGAGCCGAACTATTGATCAAAGCTGATTGGAGATGTGCGAGCTTCTCCATCAATGTGTTCAGTTCCTCACAGTACACATCTGCAGTAATTTTCATCCCGTTTGGTAAAAAGCTATGATGAATGACACCGGTGCTAGACCACCAAACAGTAACCCATCACTTTTTGAGGTATCAGTTTTCGTTTGGGGCATTGTTTAGGTCCTGAACCAGGATCTAACCAACTTGCTGAGTGCTTGCGATTGTCGAACAGAATCCATTTTTCGTCGCAAGTACCAATGCGATTCAAAATGCTTTCGTTTGTGTGCCTGTTGAGCAGTGTAAAGCTCGATTCGACGCGTACTTCTCGCTAGCGATCATTCAATTCGTGGGGCACCCTATTGTCAAACTTTTTAATTTTGCCAATTTGACGCAAATGGACTAATTTTGTTTTGATGCTAACATGCTGCTGCTGCTAATTCAGCTGTAGATTGAGAATCATCAGATTCCACAATACGTCACGTCCCCGTCATTATACATACACGTCACGGGATTCATTGCATAGGTGGAAATTTCCAGAACGGAAGCGGGCAAACCAATTACGGGTGGTGCTATCGTTAGTATAATACGCTCTGTATACGTCGTTGATTTTGTTGCCGCTTCTGCCGCGTTGCTGCCACGACGGTACTCATATTCCATAATCACTGGATTTTAACGTATTTATGATGACAAAAAAGGTACATATGCGCTGAAGGCAGAACGCTAACCGTTAAAGAAATGACTAATTATCAAAAAAGGATTCGATTTTTTTTGTGTGTTTAATTTACTAAGCCATGGTGATCAACAATTTTTTTCGTCTCATCATAATTAAGTCCCAATAACCAACTGGTTATCACTGCCTTACATTTGAATACTGTGAATTGGAAAATTTTCAAAACTTTATTTAGTTTGTTATATAATTGAGTGCTTAGTGCTATGTAACTACGCCGAGCAAGACTAGTTCAGTGTGGTACAGTTTTGCAAATATGAACTCGTCTCCTGTATCTATTTTCTTCTTTGTGATATGGGGTTTCGGTATATTTTCGAAGTACGACATCTAAAATAAATAGCTGTCGAACCGTTAGAACTTGAAATTTCTTATAGATAGCTACTGTAGGGTAACTGATTTTCTTTTTTAATATTGTTTTAATAACAGCTCTTTGGGATCTTTCTACTTTTATTAATGTTGTTTTGCAAGTTCCACCCCAAGCTAAATTACAGTATGATATGAGTGATTGGACTAAAGAATAATAAACAAGCTTTAAAGTTTTGAGGTTCGCTAAAGTTCTAAGTTTTCTGAATACAAACAGGAGCTTCCTTATCTTTGTGGCTAGACTATCAACATGTGGTTTCCAGGCAAAACAACTATCGACGAACTAGTCGATTTGGATACCCCAATGTCTTATGTGAGGCGTTTTTTTTCCAAAACACAGCAGTTACAAATTCTTGCGTTGGAGCAAGTATGTGCCTTTATACAGAAATTATTTGGCTGCGCTCTCATCGTGCTTGAGAAAGTAATAAACTTTGTTTTGTCTGTGTTAAGGGTTATTAGGTTACATGACAGCTAACTCGTCACCTGTCTAAGTGCATTCTCTGCATTTGATTGGGCATCTTTCCAGGAAACTCCTTTCACTATTAGTGCAGTATCATCTGCATAAGTGACTACTTTACAGTTGTCTATCTTAAGTTTACATAAATTTATTTATATAAATTAAGAAGAGCGTTGGTCCTAAGACACTACCCTGCGGAACGCCAAAAGTAACGTGTTCCTGGTCACTTGTATGTATATCTATTTTTACCCTCTGAGTTCGGTTACTTAAATATTTTTTTAAATTTCGAGGAGATGACCGCGTATACCAATGCGATTTAGACTATCTAATAGAATTTTAACTGATACTGTATCGAAAGCTTTTTATATCGAGAAATATGCTTATAACTTCATGTTTAATATCTATACTGTCAATTGCTATTATTATATATTAATCTTATACATAGAGCAATACGGCCGGCGCGCCCAGGAGGGGAGTAGGCAAATACGAGTTAGACATACAATCGATACATCTGTGCAGGATTTTTTTCAGGAGTCATTGTTTGTGTGAGAGTTATGTTGCAGTATTATTTAATATGCGTGTACGTTAAACTGCGTTTGTGTGTATATTTCCCCCCGCGAAAAATTACAGAATGATTCGAATAGTATCATGTCGCTGTGGCTATTTCGTTCTGTGTTGCTCTATGTCCGTGTATGAATTTTGATTGAAATGCGTTACATATTTACAGAGGGGAGTGGTGGGAGGCAGTAGAGTTGTTGATAGGCGCAAGTGCAGTGGGCGCTAACGGTGGGGCCACGAAGTTGGCGGAGCGTGCAGCTCTGCGCGCCGCCCGTCTGGCGCGCGACCATCTCCACGATGCGAGGAGGCGTGCCGCTGCCGATATGCTTCTTGAAAGGTGTTTCAATTTTTTAGAGTTCATAAAATATTACAAAGTATTAATAAAAACATGAATATATTAGCATATGAGGCAATATGAAAAAAAAAAATTTAATATCTATGTCGTTTTTTACTTTCTATTTTAAATTTGATCGTAGACTATTATTATTTATTATCACCCAAATTGATTGTCCAGGTTTGTAGCAATTGGTCAAAGTGACATCGGAGAACAACTGAGAGTAGCTTTAATAGAAGGGTATAATACAGATGAAGATGCTCAAGGTAAATATTTATAAAAATATATTCAATGCACTTGATTTTTTGTCACATAATCTCTCATCACACATGATTTTCTTCTAATTATTTGTGAATTATTTGTTCTTCGTATCCATTAACTTCTGTTAACAGTATAATATTAAGTGAGATTTTTCTATTCGTTTTAAAAAATCATTTTTATAAATATCCAAATAGGAGCTTCAGCGGAATACGAGGAAGAGGAACCCGCTATGGTGACACAGCCGCGTGAAATGGCACAGGACAGCGAGTCGGAGGCGTTGGAGCGGTTGGCCCGCGCCGGCCACTGGCAGCGGTGTCTCGCGCATGCGGGCGCTAGGGCCCCACACTATGCGCTCAGATATGCTGTGCATCTCTTCAAAGCGCATCCTGTACGTAGCTTAACTTAGGCTACAGAGTGAGACGCGGATTATGACTAGAAGCCAGAAGGATCCGGCTAATGTGAAGCAGGAGCGTGAAATGTCAAAGAACAGCGAATCGGAGGAGTTAGAGCGGTTGGCCCGCGCCAGCTACTGGCAGCAGTGTCTCGTGCACGCCGGTGCTAGGGCCCCACACTACGCGTTCAGATACGCTGTACGTCTGTCGAAAAACTCATACAGCACGTGAATAGTGCCTGTCCACGTACATGGATGTGAACCTCTAGTTGATTTGACATCTAAAGATCTATTTTATCCTTAGATTAAAACAAAATGGGAAGATACCGTACGCGCATCAAATAAAATATGATCCGACTCAACTAGATAAGCAATTTTCACACGCGCACATTCCTGTAATTAAACATTCAATCAAGCGAGCGAGACAGAATTGCGTTTTCATTTCTCTCTCTACAGACGGCTGAGTTGTATTGATGTAATTTTCTTGATAAAAAATGACGAATCAGTAACTAACATTCATGGCAAATCGTGATTTTTGAGAAAAATATGTTTTTAGTTTTATGAATGAAAAATGTTGCCGTGGCATTGCAATATTGTTATACTGACTGCACATGCATCGTGTTTGGATGTCCAATTGTGACTAAAGCGAATTGTGGTCATGCACCACAATAAACGCGGATCACTTTGGAGCCGCGAGTGCCGTATCTTACCTTTTTGTTTTAATCTAAGATTTTATCATTTTTCGTAGCGCGATTTTTATTATATTTTTTTACGCCTTTACCACACTGACGCGGCGAAACACGGTAGCGAAATTGCGGTAATCTGTAGACACTATGAATTTATATCGCGTATGTTGCATCGCGCCCTATCTGTCAGCGATTGTTGTTTCACGTGAACCACCTTTCATACGGACACTTCGGGACCGCCATAGCATTTTCACTGCAGGGACAGAGAAAACATACGTGATATAAATTCATAGTGTATTACAGGTTACCACAATTTCTCTACCGGATTTCGACGCGGTGTGCTAAACGCGTAGCTCTGCTATAAGGCTAAAGGCGTTAGTAAAAAAAACAGTCATAAATTTATTTTTCAGCGCATGGAAGGTATAGACATCGAAAGCGAGGACGTACCCGAAGCACTAGCGCAGGTGATCGACTCCCTACGCCAGTATCTCGTGAGCGGCGACGGTGCAGATGCTACGGTAGCTAGCACTGACGTCACGCTAGCGAGAGCGGTCTGCAGCGAACTGTTGGTGCGAGCCTCGACAGCGCCCAAAGCGCTCGAAGCACTGAAAGATGCTGCAGCGATCATGCACGCGGCCGGAGCTGACGATAGAGCTATGCAGGTAAAAAAAACTTTATCCTACTTCCTATTCTACCCTTCTTCCCTCAAATATTATAAACGTGAAAATAGGTAAGAATGTGAATTTTTAGACGTTGTAACTCTTTTACCATATAACGAATGACGGATTTGGGTGAAGGGCATTTTTTTATCTAGTTACCTAGATTGACACATAGGATACTTTTTATCCAGGAAAATGTTAGATACCTGTGGGATTTTCACATCAATAACTATAACGCAGACAGATGCTAGTTTTTTCTATCTTTTTTGTTTATAGCACATTTAACTTATCCTTCTATCTTACCTGAAAAGTGTAAATAAATTTCAATGGCTACGATTATCCGTTCCAAACATTTCCGATGCCAGACTTTGGGATTCCATTAATGCGAGTTGAACTCTAATTAAAATTATTACTTAGTTTAAACATGTTTTTCTAAACATGTTGTAATAATATAAAATTATTTTTGTATTTTCCAAGAATTTCAATTTTTCTTTCTTCGCAACTGCGAAAACTAAGTCACAATATTTACAGACTTCTCGACAACTTTCTTTACGATTTGTATTTGTCTGTTTACGTTGTGTTCGATCAACCACAACTACTTACGTACTAGACCTACGTTGTGCTCAATCAACCACAACTACTTACGTAAACTTTTGTTAAATTCGGGATTTTAGTAGGCAGTTTGTTATACTTAATATATAATAACAGTAATACCCATTTGTTTATTTTTTAAAAACTTAAATTACAATATTCATTTATGATACAAAATTATTTCTTTCACTTCACAAATTAAATAGCAATTTGCTCTTATCCTGGCTTGTACCTAAATAGTCTGCTGGCATTTAAGCTAGGTTAGACCTATGTTTTGGAAGGCAGCGGTTCCTACGAGTAATAATTTCTCGTTTGGAATATTATGGCGCGAATACACTTTCCGCCTTACTAATAAAAACGATGGATCGACAGTGCATGTCAAGATCGTTAACGATTTACTTAATCGCAGACGATATCGGAGATCGCAACAAAAACCCATGCAATCATGAATATCGTAAACGATCGATCGTCAGTGTCCCATATACGGTACGATTGATCTGTACCAATTGTCTGTATTGATCTTATAACGATTTCCTTCAGATCGATCGCAACGACAAATCGTTTACGATCAATCGTTTCGTGTATGTAGTGGCATTTCTGAACGATCGATCGTTGACGATTTTCTTCAGATCGATCGCAACGACGAATCGTTCCGTATATGGGGCCCTTAGAAATTGCATTGCATTTGCATTGTCTGTTACACATCTGTTGCAAGCCATGGGGTTACCAATAAAAACTTCTTGTATGCATTTGTTTTACTGTAGAAAATATAGTAACACGTTGCTTATTCACTCGGGCACCCTTGTATAACTATTATTTAGGTCTTTTCCAGTTCCATTTCTAGTTTAGTTTATTCTTTATCTGAGTTATCAAACAGTATTTTACTTCGTTTTTTTTTATTTTTCTCGTTATATATGGATTACCTTAATTACTTGAGGAATTCGCAAGTGGGAACTCAAGTAACGAGAAAACAAAAAATATAGTATAGAAGTCGTATTGATCCCTTTCTCTTAAATGAAAACGATTTTAAATACAAATATAGATTTCTTATGAGAGTACTTACGAAAAATATCAAACTGATCAAAACTTGCATGGACAATAGCTAGAAGGTTGTTCATTGAAAGATATTATAAATAGTACGTAATTTATCGTGCTTATTGTTTCTGCAACAACATTTTTTGTAATTTTAATTTTTCGCATTTCAATATAAGCTCTCCCTGTGCCCAGGCGTGAGCCTCAGTCATGCTCAGCTTGCATTAACTTTACTACCTACTGTTCAAAAATTAATCATCAAGCTTCTAAGATGATTTGCTCCAAACCTTTTCATCACATCATGTCAAAGATCTTGTCTTTTGATTTATTTGTGTTTGTATAAGTACGCTTATTTTCAATAATGTGCAGCATATCTTTTAAACACTCCCGTAGTAAATTCTCGAATATAAACAATTTATGTAAATAAACAAGAACTTAAATCTGTGTAACTTTTTCCCTTACTTTTTCAGTATTATCCCATTTAGAACTTTTCTTCCTTTTTTGGATATACAAATGTATATCCAATGTAAACAATGATAAATGAAATCATTTACCATTGTTTCATTTGGATAATAACGAAATTATAATAATACACAGTCAAAAGCAAACAAAATACAATACAACACGGAGAGTAAACACCAAATTTCAATAAATACATTACAAAAATAGTGACACTATGGTTTCTGAATATAATGAACAAATCGTGCCACTGAGAAATTCTACCATGCTTATCAGATGTGTAACTATTCGCAGGTAGTACAATGTTTAGGCGCTTTGCAGACGACGTGGCGGGGCGGGCTTTTTGTCCGCGAAGCAATAAAAACCGCGTCTGCCCGTCGATATCTGCAGCTGCCCTCGCCGCGTACACAAAGCACACGACGGGCAGAGGCAGTCAATTCAGGACGTTCGTTCTAGTGAATAGTCCAACACTAAGGCGCTTTGCAGACGGCGGGGCGGAGCGGGCCGGTCAAATTCGCCGCGAACGATAGCACAAAGTGAATCCTATACTACAAACGCACACAGAGGGCAAAAAGACCGCGCCTTGGGTGCCCGGCGGGCACTAGCGGCGCGGCATGTCCGCAGCTGCCCGCCGTGGATCATACAAACCAGTTTATATGCAGTAACGCAGACGGCGGCGCGGGGCGGCTAGCTCAGTCCGCGCCACGCGCTTTTTAGTGATGGATTATTCACTAGGACGAACGTTCTGAACTGACTGCCTCTGCCTGTCATGTGCTTTGTGTACGCGGCGAGGGCAGCCGCAGACATCGACGGGCAGACGCGGTTTTTATTGCTTCGCGGACAAAAAGCCCGCCCCGTCCCGTCGTCTGCAAAGCGCCTTATTGGTAGGGTGATCGTATAACGCGTGTATAACTTTACACAGGGTATATTCATTGGGTAACTATTCATTAGTTAAACAACTGTTAAGACATTTTTTATTAGTATGGCTGTCAGTCGGTAGTCCGAATACTAGTCCCAATGGAATTCGGGTAAACGACTAAGTGTAAATGAAAGGAGTTGCGTACGCCCTTTCGTTTACCCGACAACGTCTTTACGTAGCCCGTAATCCGGTGTAAATATTGCTTCGGGTGCTTGAATTCGAGGAATATCATTTGTGCATCCGAATACGGGCTAACAACCGAAAGGTTGGCCCCGAAAGCTGTTGTATGTGATTGTTGAACATTGTGTTTTTATCGTTTAATTTAATAAGTGTGGCAGACAAGCATCCACCCCGCCAGTTTGTGAGCGGCGCCAGATACTGATGTTATAAATTGTGAAAGTAACTTTGTTTATCTTTCAACTTTTCACCGATGAAAATTTTGAATGATTTTTATATTTATAAAAACTTCCAAAATCATAATAAAAAAATCATTTATTATCTTATGGTTTTCGATCACAATGATTGGAGACCAGAAGATTAATAGAAAAATGTTTGTTGCACTTGATGGCGTACAATGACATTCTGTTTGTTTGGAAAACTTGTAAGTTTTTGTGTATTCACATGATATCCTATCACGTGTTACCCATGATAGGATTTATTAGGAAGAATACAAATAAACTTACCTTTGCCTTTAACCAGGCGTGAGTGAGGTCGGGTATGTCATGCCCTAGAAGTTTTTAAACGCAGATTATTTAATGTTACTCATGCCATGCGAGTCATGTCGTTTCAGTAGCTGGAGGAATGGGTGCGAGGTTCGAGGTACAGTATTGAGTTTAGTTTTGCGACGGCGGCGACGGTAAATACAGGGGTGTACACGTGGTTGGGGTATGTCATACCCGACCTCGTAGTCGGTGTTACATTTTTGTGTTGACAATAAGGTTTTGATTTATAGTTATTTATGGTATGTTATGATTTATTTTTCATTACATCGGCTACAATAACTTTTAGAAAACTGCTCAAGTGCTAGCTCCTGTGACTTCGAGAGCAAAGAAGAAATTGATAACGTTTCTCAGAGAAGTGAAGAAAGTGATTTGGAATAAGAGGGTATTTTGGATAATTTGGAAGAGACGGAATCTGTGCCGGTGTCTACTAGTCAGTCGGCTGAGGAACTTAGAACTTGTTATAAATCCAAAGATGGAACAAAATGGTCTAAAGATTGTCCTAGACAAAGCGTTCGAGTTCGGTCTGAGAATATTATTACTAATGCTCTAGCTCTCTTTATAACAGACAATATGTTGAATACCGTATTTATGATGAAGCGCCGAGACTACATTCGTAATTTACGTTTAATTCTAATAAATGATAGTCTTCGGAACAGGCAACAGAACTTACATCTTCCAATGGAAACACGACAAAGAATTGCCGATTATTAGAGGTACCCTTACCACCAGTTGCAAAAATATGGTTGGTAAATATGTTAGATGTAATGAGTGTACTCAGAAAAAGGCAGGAAAAACAAAACATTGCTGTTCAAAATGTGAGAAGCCAATAAGTATAGAACACGCGATTTTTATTTACGGAGATTATGGTGATATGTAGGTGTAACTTTGGTGCTCCGTTACATGATCTCATATGTCTTTTCAGTTCCTTTTTTATTTAAAATAATAAGAAGACACTATTGTTAGGTTAATTTACCAAAGAAGTTGGATTTTTGTTAGATTTTTATGCGAAAAGAAGTTAACTACCTAAACGTGTATTTTTTCAAAGATAATTTACATACTTTGTAATTTCAATAAAAAATAACGCTTTTTGTACTTAATGCTGGTATTTTATTCTCTAATCTTGTTGAATGGATACTATTATTAATACATTTCAAGCATAAATGCTAATTATGCAATCATAGTATCAAAAATTTAACATCAAAATATTGGGTATCTCCTACCCGCCTCCATAGCTGGTGTAACAATTTCTCACCGCATTCAAGCCGGGTTAAGTATCATTTGAATAAAAGTTGTTGTAAAATATTACATAATTACAAACATTATGCATTAAACAAGCAATAAACTGAGGAGTCCGATAGCGCAAGTGGTTCGAAATGAAGTCAAACAACTTTCGTAGTAGTCGGTCATTGGATGGGTGACCAAAACTTTACTATTTCGAGCTCCTCCGTGCTTCGGAAGGCACCTTAAGCCATTGGTCCCGGCTGAATCTGCAGTAGTTAGCACCCACCAATCCACACGCGTGGTGGCTAATTTATTTTTATTAATAGGCTGATGATGATGATGAAGACAAACTTATTTTTGTGTTAGGCTATTACCTTGCTGATGGCTCTGCACGTGCCCCAGATAGCTGGGCGGGCGGCGCGCGCTTTGCCCCGATACACTGACATCATTGTAGCCGACGTTAGTAAGTACCGTTTAAATTCAACATTTTTTTAATGTTAAAAGGATGGCGTAACAGCAAAAACATAGATATAATCGCAGTTATAAAAATGGCAACAAGTAGGTTTAATTTGCCGCAGGTGGCAAACAAGCTTAAGGCAAGCGGCTACCATAGCCTATAGACGCTAGTGATACCAAAGATATCGCTTCCCCGTTGAACCCTTGACCCTTATTCAGCAACAGAAATACAATAATACCAAACGGTAATGTTGTTTTGCTGTGGTCTTCTGTAAGGTGGAGGTTACTTTCCAGACGGGCGTTCCAATTCAAGCGGAAATTCCGCTGTGCCCTTCCTCTCTTAATACTAAAAGCTATAATATTTTTAGTAATAAGTAGCAACTACGAATGTAAGTAGCACTAGTAACACAAGGTCAGAGAATTTTAAGTTAAGATTTTGGAGAGTGAAATTATACAGTTTTGTTAACTAAACAAATGCAATTTACTCTTGTAATTTATTACACCATATTGCATGACTAAATTGAAAAAAGCTACAAATTGCTAACAATTAACTAGCATACTCATATGATTCAACGCAAAGGGAAATACAATTTTAGCACGTTTTAAAAAAAATATAGTAGTTGAATAGTAAGTAGGAGTGCGTAGTTTAAACTTCTAACTCCGTTCTATCTGAATTCATTATCACTAGACTGTCTTTGTCTTTCTCTGAGTTTCCATAATTTATTTTATTTTGGTTTGTCAAGAATTGTAATTACCTTTATTTTGCTCAATTGTAGCTCATTGTAACAATAACACATTAGAACAAACTAATTAGTTATATGTATAACGATCACGTAAGTAATCAAACGTTAACAGCAACAAAGTTTTAAAAGATACTTACAAGGCGGAATTCCTTAACTTTGTTATTTGGTTCGTTTCGTTAGTTCTAGTCTTGAGCAAACAGTTGGCAGTGGCAACTTTGTATTATACTTTGAAGTGGGATTCGGTAGATCTTGCAGTATGTACCCAAACAGATCCAATTTACTAATTGGCACAGTTCCTCACTACTTACTTTTGAAGTAAATATAAACATCCATTTATGTAATGTTTATTTTAATCAAAAAAGGTGTCCACATATTGTAGAAAATAAAACATTTGGCAAGTAATCATTTTTGCACTACTTTTATTTTACTATAGTAATTGATCAAAACATTATCACACTGAAAAGGGTGTTATAATGTTTTTTTTAATTAGGACATTGGATGTGTTAATGTTTACAATAAGCTAACTGTTTCAGATTCTTTTATAGGGGTTTTAAAGCATGGGTATAGATAAACTTTATTTTCGACTAGTGGCCCGCCCTCGCTTCGGGGTAGAATTGATCCAAATCCTTTCTTAGCGGATGCCTACGTCATAACATCTACCTGCATGCCAAATTTCAGCGCGATCCGTCCAGTGGTTTGGGCTATGCGGTGATAGATCACTATGTCAGTCAGTCACCTTTGAGTTTTATATAAATATAGATATTGTTTTACTTTTTAGTGTTCGTCCGCCCAGTTTCCGCAAAAGCATTAGCGCTTCCACGCTGTACCGCTCCTCCGCCATTCGCCGCGGATTGCAGCTCGTGTGTTGTTCACCTAATGTGAAAGAATTTTGTAAATCGGTCCTGTAGTTTCTGAGCTTATTCATTGAGTGGTAGAGCATAGCGGCATTTCGGCTCGAATTGGAGTGCCCATCTGAGGAAGTAACCTCCACCTTATATTACCTTTTGGTGGTGTTGGGTTTCTGTCGGTGAGTAAGGTTCTTTATCGGTGTAGGGGATTGGGTCAGGGTAGGCAACGGGCGAGTGATATTTTTGGTATCGCAAGCGTCTGAAGGTTATGGTGTCCGCTTAACAGCAGGCGGGCTATACGCTTGTTTGCCACCCTTTTAATATTGAAAAACAATGATACAAATCTCCCCTCTTTATAAAACTAGTAAAGATATAAACGGACATTGTGCATGCAGCTTATTACTGTTGCGGGGTGGCTGTACGCTCAGAGGGAACGAGTGGTGCGCGCGAAGCTTTTGTGCTTCTCAATCGGTGCCTCGACCTCGCTGAGGCAGCTGACGACGACGCCTCGCATCTACTGGACTACACCGATTTTGGTAAGTTCTATTAATTTAGTGTGTTTACCACAGTGAAACAAAAGGATAATCGAAATGTGTGACGGATGTCTTATTATTTGTTTTCTTTGTTGTCGTTTTCTTGGGCCGCGTTGTTTCAACGATTGTTAACTTTGACTATAGCCACCTCAAATACATTTTTCATCCCACCACCTCGGAAAGTGTAATTTTGCGCTTCGAAATCTGGCTGGAAAATTCTATTTTATTCGCTTGAGCGGCAAAGTAGATTTGAATTTAGAACATCACATATAATGAGTACTCAATATAATTGTAAATTCAAAACGTCATTAAACCTATTTAATGTAACCTCTATGGTGCCAAATTTATGATTAGAACTTTTTAAATTGTGAAAAAAATTAAATTTGGAACCTTCTTGGTTTCTTTGTTTTATTTGCGTGCTTCGCGCCATTCTAGTTTTTCACGTTTTATTGCTTAATATAATTAACATAACCTAAAAACTGTACAAAAAAATCAACTAAAATGAGTGACATTAGCGACGATGAAGTTTATCTAACGCCAACTGAGTTAACTGAAACAGTTAATAATGCGCAAATGAGCCTTCTCCCTCAGCAATCACGAGAGAAGTATTTGAAACAGTACGATATATTTAACATGTGGCGACTAGCTAAAGGAGCAAAAACTTTCTCCGAAAACGTTTTGCTGGCATATTTTATAGAATTATCTGAGACCAAGAAAGCAAGCACGCTATGGAGTACGTATTCAATGCTAAAATTAACAATTAAGATGAAGAAAGACGTTCATATCGACACCTATCATAAATTAGTGGCATTTTTAAAAAGAGCCTCATCTGGTTATAAACCAAAAAAATCGAAGGTTTTCACAGCATCTGAAATTGCAAAGTTTATTAATGAAGCACCTGATTCCGTATATTTAGCGGCAAAAGTAAGTCAATACGTGTAATTTTTTGTTGTTGATAAAATTGTACATAGTACTTACAATATTTTTAATTTGATTAATTTATTTACGATTATAAATACTTCTTTTGTTACAGGTTGTTCTTATTATTGGTATAACCGGAGCATGTCGAACAAATGAACTTACACTACTTAATGTCAATAACGTATCAAAATATTCTCATAATTCTGATGAATTGCTATTAATTAATGTACTAAATACCAAGACAAAAAAAGACCGCAACTTCGTTATTCGCAAGGAATATGTAAACATTGTTCAGAAATATCAAGCTTTACGTCCTTCTAACACCCCAATTGAACGATTTTTTCTACAATATCGCAACGGAAAGTGTATCCGACAACCTATGGGTCAGAATAAAATTGGCAGTATTCCACGAGAAATAGCAACTTTTCTCGGACTTTTAGAACCCCCGTTATACACCGGTCACTGTTTTAGAAGAACCTCAGCCACACTTTTGGCCGAATCAGGGGCTGATCTTCTATCGCTTAAGCGCCATGGAGGCTGGAAGTCTAATTCGGTTGTAGAGGGATACATAGAGGATTCAATCCAAAATAAATCAAAAATTTGTAATAGTATCGTGGAGGCCATAACGCTGAAAGAACCTCTGTCAGATTCTTGGTCTCGCCCTTCTACATCTAAAATTAGTCCCCATAAGATTGGAAACAATAGCCCTCTCTCGCCAACATTTACGCCAATAGAATCCAATGAATCGGCACAACTATTTAAAATTACTGATACGAGTAGTTTACCACAAAACAGCGCACAATTCACAAACACCAACATAACATTACCTAACAAAAATATTAAACTTAACATAAGTAACTGTAGCAACGTTACATTTAATATTTCTTAATTATTTTCTACTTCTTATTATTTTCTTCAATTTATAGATTATCTTAATGTGTTTTAATTGAAATAAAAATATTTTGTCATTATAAATTGTTTTCTTTTTCATTTTGTCATTTCCTCGCTGAGGTGGGATGAAAAGTTACGTATTGCACTCGAGTGGAAAGATTTTTCACCTTGTGCTCGTTTGTTTCCCTCGCTGACGCTCAGGATTCTAATTTAGAATCACTCGCTGCGCTCGTGATTCAACTTTAGAATCCTTCGCTTGCTCGGTCATCCAAATCGAGCACGCGGTTAAAAAGGAACTTTCCACTCTTGTATAATAAATAACTATTAATTGTGTCAAATTTGGAGAAATGTTTTTTTTCTATAGGATTAAACTATAATCAAACTTAACTATCGATGAAACAACGCGGCCTTAGTCATGTTTAAATAAATGTACATGTATTATACACGCTATGCTATATTAGTATATATGTTATATAAGTAATGTACATTATCGCCGAATATTGTTAAGTACTTAATAGGATATACCTTCTTTGGCCCAAAGTGAAAGATTTTGATTTCAGATTAGATTCATTATAGGTGTCACGTGCTTTTAATATCAAAACAATAACTTTTGCTTAGAATGATTTAAACATAGGCACTTTTTAACTTTGTAGCTGTATTATTAACAAAATGTTGTGTTTTTAAAACTTACCAGTTGACCTGGTGTAAATCGTATCACCTATTCCGTGCAACGAGATTTAAACTATCCCTTATCTAAATGGCTGAAACATCAAATGTTTGATAGAATAGTAGGTAGAACAGTTTATATTTGAAAGTGAAATTGTTGTTTTTACTATCTTCCTCGCAATTTTTCCATATTTTCTCACCGTTCGAACCTTTCCTTGACTACGATGAACATTTCAAAACCAAAATCGGCTTAATCGTACCAGCCGTTCTCGAGTTTCAGCGAGCGGCCGGAACTGACTTTGCGCTGATATATTAATGAAGAAAATCAGGTGTTTAAATTTTTTATTAAACAAACACCATTTTTCTTCTTCTTACAAAAATCTATACACTTACTTAATGCCGGCACTTTACTTGACTGTTCGTGTTTGCTATTACTAACTTGACATCAGTCTGTCCTTTTCATTCCTTAAAAAACATGATAATGATAGATTATTCTCAAGTTTACAAATGGCAAATACGAATAGCCAATTGAAGTGCCGACCAACGATATTAAATACCGTAGATACAACAACACGAACAAAATCGTGGCTTTCATGGAGCTCTGCGGCATCTTGACTTTTCAACGGCCCGCGCGTGACTGTGAACCAAGAAGTGCTTGAGTGGAGTTCAAGTACTTCTTGATTGGGACACATTTTGAGCGCTCGTGGTGTATCTAGGGTATTTAATATCGTTGGTGCCGACATAAAATGAACACAAAAAAGTCAAATCGGTCGATATGTTCTTGTGTGCTAAATCAACCATCTCACACGTTTTTTTATCTATATATTACTGCCGGCGGCATCCACGACTTCGTCTGCGTTAACTTTAGTTCTTTCAGAATCCCACAGGAACTTGTCATCTTTCTGGGATAAAAAGTATCATGTGTCTCAATCCAGGTCATAAACTTTATACGTAATTTCATCCAAATCGGTACAGTAGTTTCTGCGTGATTGAGTAACAAACTTGACAAAATTGAGTACAGACGCACATACATACAAACTTTCACATTTATAATATTAGTAGGATTGATAAGTAAAATACGATAATGTTTGTGTGTACAGAGTGCACTGACTGGTCGCGCACACCGCTCCTATTTGAAAGTGCGTGCGTGCGAGGCGCGCCGATGGAAGATGTGCGCGAGTGGGTACTCGCCGTGTCCATGGATCAAGCGGTCGAACAGGTATATATATGAAAACGGCGTTTACCAAAGTGAAACCAAAAATAAAACCATTCAAAGAAGTCTTTACTAGGTTTTCGTACGTAAAATTGTTACAGAGCAGGCTACGTCATTTATGGTTTATACTCAAGATATTTGCCGAAGTGTATACAGTAGCTAGCTCATTGGGCGGGTTCACAACAAGCGAGCTGTCTCTTACCAGGCCGGCTTGACTGAATGTATGAATTTGACATTCGAAATATGGCTTCTTGTGTACGCCGCTTGTCTTGCAATGTCCTGATCCTGACACTGCACGCGGAGGTACTCCTGCGATCACTGCCGGATTTAGGGGAGGGCAACCGGGGCGAAAGCCCCGGGGCCTCCACAAACGGAGGCCCCCACAATAGAGACTTTGGAAAAAAAAATCTTTCAAATTCTAACTAGTAAACACCTTTTCCTTTGATATTTTTTTTTGCTCTTTTACCTTTACCCAGGGCCGAATTTAAGGCAGGGCAGGTGGGGCTGTGGCCCAGGGGCCTCCACAACAGCTTAAGAAATAACAACATTTCAATGGGTCAATAAGCATACAAATCCTAAGTGGCCCGGGGCCTCCACAATCCTAAATCCGGCCCTGCCCGCGATACTGCTCACTTGGTGTAAACATATAATTTTTAAATATTGATTGCAATATTTATTTAAATAGGGATGACGATGGGTTCCAATCTCCAGAAAAATGTATTCCGAATTGGAGTCAGAGTTGGAGGAAGCTTTTAATTTATACAAAAATGTACTACGTAGGTAGATAGCAACACCACCTCCGCCACGGCCACAACGATCATTCCGAATTAAAGTAAAACCAGGGAGAGAATAAGTGGGAGGTAAAAGATGTGGTTTTAACCAAGATTCAGAGATAAGGATAGCGTGCTCATTTCGCCTAGAGAACACATCAAGCAACTCTTCATAATGACTAGGTACACTTTGGGCATTGATGTGAAATATGTTTAATTCACATATGTTCATGTAAACGAAACTTTATTTAGTCCGTTAGATGGACTCTCAAAAAATAATGTACTTACTTTTCTTTTTACAATCAACCAAAAAATTACAAAGATGAAGCGCGTTGAAGTTTGGGAATGGGGGCTTGTCACGTCACTTCTTTGTTCCTCATACTTTAATTTAATTTTTTGCGTTTTCGATGTATGTTGGTAATTGAACTGTTATCTACGGTCAATAAAACGTTTCTCTCTTTCTCTCTCTTGCAATAGACATTACCAGAGGACAGTCGCGGCATGTACGCTTCATCGGTTGGTGCGGAGGAGCCGTGCTGTGTGTTAACTGGGTATCCTCTCGGCTCCCGCCTGGTAACTTTTACCAATGGTAAGTTACCTAGTTATAACTATTGAAGTAACTATAATCTGGTTTCCATGTAGAATATATGCAGAAATACCTTGTTTTTAGCAAGTTGCCGATATTTCGGCAGTGTTGCAAGCACCATGATCACGGAGTAACTGAAGGCATTGCGGGTAGGCTGTTATTGCCAGACATATCGGTCTACACTCCGACCAAGTATTTTATTGCGTTCGATACCCGTACCACTGTTCACATTCTCACTATTCACTTGAAACTGTTCTCGAAACAAAACACTCACAGTATGCAATGTATATGGTAACAATCCCGTAAATAACATAAATTTAAAATAACAGTTTTAATTAATTCAATCATTATTTCCCTATCATCAGTACAAAATGTATTTTAGATGTTTTTGAGAGAGGTACTACATTTTACAATTTTCTGTCCGAATTTTAGCGCTCGTTACTCGTTTAGAATAGTAGTATACGTTTAGAATAGTAGTATTTCCAAAGACTGTAGTCTTTGGAAATACTACTATTCTAAACGAGTTAGATATCACTATTAAATAATAGTGATATTTATTAGTTGTTGTGTTTCCAAGAGAGTACAGTTTCCATAAATCTATGAGGCTGGGGACGGGGTCAGGGCATACAAATATTGTTAAAAGGTGGCAAACAAGCTTATGACGGCACTATTAAGTGTACATACGTGTGACCAGATAATACAAATATTTACTCCCGAGTTTATATAATTCTACATGTATACTATACGTTGTAGTAGATAACCTATTTATTAGGCGGTATATACCTATGTTTCTTTACTTTTGCATAAAATAGATGTACTTTTATTTTGTCAATGGAAAATATTTAGCGTGGTTTAAGGAAAACATTAAAGCAATAAATCGGGTTTGCTACTGTGTACCTTTTTTTACGGGGAAACTTGAAAATGGTAAAATATGCCGAAATATCGGCGTCTCGAAAATAAAGATACACTGTAGATATCCCGCTAATTACTATAACGTTAAGTGACCATGAAAGTTTAATCAAGTAAAACATTAAATTCTTTTTTCTGTATTTAACTGCTATATGTATAAATCTAAAGAAAAAAATTACTAGAATCAATCCACGTAGTCAAGCTCAAAGTCAAGAGTCAATCAAAATCAAGGAAGCAGACGGGACCCAAACCCGCACTCTATCCGGGCGCATGCACTGACCTATTTATGCTACACCTGGCAACACCAGGACCTTAATGGCCGTGTTAATTTTCTTCTAGTATTTCTTTGGCTGCAATGCAGCACCATGACACGACAAGAACGACACAGCCATTTAGGTCGTGGTAAATTAAATAAATTGGTCGAGTCCCGACTGCTGCCTGGATTACGTAGATTTTTTCTAGTTAAATTGTCTTAAGGTTTAAATAAAACATTGTTTACAAACAGGCCGTTGCGCCAATCGGGAATGGTGGTCTCGTATGTCGAGTGCGGCGCGCGCGGGCGGGGCGGCTGCTAAGCTGTTACAGCACATCGACCGCTGGTGCGGACCCGCTGACTACACGCACGTGTAGACCTAAGCATTACCCGTCTTATTACAGAATGTAGACTAAAGTGAAACCTAGACTTATACTGATGCTGTCACTCTTGTTTGCTAAAAAGAAAACAGAGACCAGTTCAGAAAATTACCATAATTAGAGCCTTTGAAATATAAATAAGATGACCTTATGTAGTGTTTCATTTTTTCTTAAAAATTCAGGCATTCGTTATTTATAAATGAGTGATATATTTTTTTAAATGTTAAGAGTTTTCTCTTAATTAAAAAAACTAACAAATTTTCTAATAGGCATTGTTGGTAGTTCGAATGAAATGAGAAAAAGGGATAGTTACAAAAAACATGATTTATAATGATTCAATAAAACCAAAGATGAATGTTAATATCGCTATAATAAACTCATTTGTTATCACATTTATTTAATAATATATTTTGACACACATATTTGTTACGTACTAGAATTTGTAGAGTTCTACTTCGTTTTAATGACGAATACTGAGAATCGCTTCATTTTACAAAAGAGTAAAAATATTATATTGATCCGAAAACTTTGCTAAGATCACGCCTCGCATATTTAGTGATGTGTATGCTTGTATGATCCTGCCTCTCAAAGTTATGAAATATTAAGGTCCCAAAAAGTAGCAAATATAACACTACACTGTCACTATTTTTCGATATCCGTATATAGAATAATACAATTCAAATATGAAATTTTATTGAAAATAATAGGGTTAAGTTAGTGGACCGTTGTTCGAAGTTGTTGCATTTTTATCAATATATTGTAAAAATAATTAATATGTTGTTTATTTACTAGTCAGAGTCAAGTGTAGAAATACGGACGGTCACTTTTAATTTAGGAAAAGCTAATATCAGCGAATGCGTGTTATAACAATTTTGCACACTCAAGAACACTAAACGGATTTATGATCGCATTGAAGCATTCTTTGTATTCGTCACTAAAGAAAATTAAGAATCTTTGTATCTACGAAGAAATAACATATTTCATTCTAAGGTAAGAAATTTAAGGTACAATTTATGATATCCGATACCAATATCACATTGATTCGTCGTTCACGCTACTATGGGAAATGTCTTAGAAAGGGCCATGTGCTAATTCTTAATCATCACTTGACAGATATGTTTCAAGCTACCCGGAAATATAAATAACGCGTGTTTCTATTTTAATGAATAGTTAAACTTCAGATATGTTTCAGATCTATGTTGGTGTGAATGACGATGATTTTTATCGTGATAAGTAGCATTTCTTTAGGTGGTGCTCTTGATAAATATCCAAGCGGTATCGGGAGTCTTCGAGGCACATAATAATATTAGATTTAATCGTCTTTACACTTTGTTACTTACGTAAGATTATTATTTCGTTTATACTAATATATCAAGATAATAAGCGTAAGTTAGTTTCGACTGACCGCCGATGTTGTTTCGGTGTCAGTATTTTTTTTATTAAGTACCTAGATTTTATAATATATGTATATTATATATATATATATATGAATATATAAGTAAGAATATTTTTTACCATCTATACTGAAATATATTAAACATAATAATGTAAAAATATTTTTGATTCCAGATAAATGCCATTACGAAATTAATGTAGGTACTACTCTTTTGTAACGATACATAATATATTTATATTTTTTTAATGAATTTAAATAGAGAATATGTAGGTAGATACGTTTTAATTATTTCTCTCTCTTAGGACATATACAACCATTTTGAAATGCTAGGTAGAATTATGAGCTAGAATCTATCGAGTGACGATGTAAATAAGGGGTTAATGAAGAGCGAAGTATTGTCAGGTGAACTACTCAGCTATATAATGAGATCATGGAAGAACACAGATTTTAACGAGATGTTCATACATATACATTATTCTCGCATAAGATATGTAATTTGCATCTAAGCATCGACAAAGTATCATCCATTCCACGTATATTAAACACCTAATTTATTTATTCAAAATTATTATTACATTATGTAGGCCAGTCGCGCGAAGCAAGCTGTGCTCGATTCATATTATATATTTTAGATGGTGCTGATATTTGGTATTACTTGGCTATTGTACGAGTATATCTACAAATGCTAATAATGTTTACATCTAATGGAACTAAATCCGGTATTGTACTATCATAAAGAACGTTTTAGTTGTGACTATAGAAAATACTTAAAGGTGAGACTTTATTAGGAATACTTAGGTACGTTGGATTCATAAATCTACAGGTTATAAAAAGACGCTATCATGAAACAGTTGTGCGTAGAAAATTTTGAAAAATAACTATACCATATTTACAGTGATAAGAAGTAAGAAGGTAAATTTGTAGAAAGAAGATAAGTACCTCCAATAATGTTAGTGGGCTCTCACTTTAGCGATTTACACAAATGAGTAAGGTTTATGTTAGGGGAAATTCACTAAAGCACAACCTTGGAAGAATAGTACCTAGACGCACTTACTTACTAGAATAACTTTAGAAGTTTATTAATCATATATAAGGCAAAGTGTCAAAGTTGGGGTTATTTTGAGATGAGACGTATCTTAAAAATGGTATTTATAGTCAGTATATATTCTAGTTACAATAGATGGGTAAGTATATATGGTTTTCTACTATGCACTTGTATTAAAATGACAATCTAGGTGCAAGGGCACGTATTATATTATAAAGGAGACAAATTTACCGATAACAACTCAATATGTTTCTACCCAGCAAACTAGAGTCAAATTAAATAAGTAAAGTATGAAGTTAAAGTATTATTTCAGCCCAGAGTATGATGTTTTCAATATGTCGAAGGTTGTATTATATGTTTTATTTTGCCTAAAAATAAGTATGTCTTGTAAAGTACGTTACGTTATAAAGAACATATAAAATTTGCTACCAATATATATACATTAGGCGTAAACATATAAAATCGTTCATTGTTTTTTTAAACGTAAGTATTATTCCTTAAGCTTTCGAAGGGTTTACTGCAAAGCAGTTAATATTATACTTATTTTGTACATTTATGAGCGATTTCATTGTCTACGTCTAACATGCGTTTTAAGAGTAGAAGCATCATTCTATAAGCTCCTCATGAATCTACTATCTAAAATGGTGTCTCCACTGGGGGACCTGCCCCCGCGCTAACATCAATATATAATTTTATTATGTAACATCAAATTGGCCCTGGAAACATAAGAGGCCAGTTATTTACAATTTCACGATACAACAATTACACAAAAATAGCACAGGTATACATAATATCTGTGGGTCAGTTTTTCATTGCAAATATTTACATTTTCTTGCGTGGAAAAGTATGACGGAGCAAAGTACAGCATATTTGGGCGCATTAATTTTGGTAGTTAGTTACAACGAAGCCACATTTTGAATTGCGAGATCCATTCGAAACTCAGATTGATTTAGGTTTACAAAATCAATAATAGATTTACCGCCTGCTTTAACTCGAGCGCCCGACTGTAGATTCTCCACCAGGGGGTCGGTGCAGCAAATGTTTATCGCATCATCAATCTTATTGTATCAGGAATGGAGTAATTTGTTAGGCTTTCTATAAATAAATAAATAATATCAATTAAATCTCGAGATGGTTCTCTGCAATATAAAAATGGGGCTTATCGCTTAAATATAACGGGAGCTTGCACAGATGTTGCGTAGAGTCCGTATATTGGTATTTATTACGCGTTGTCAATGTAAGCATCCGTTGTGGTGAGCTGTGATGGGCGCTAGTCGTCGCGGCGCTCCGGCGACGACTCCCGCGATCAGTCGGGAGACTCGTCGGCGCCGAGCGAGGTGGCAGGGAAAAGCGGGTACCAGCCGTACGTGCGCTGCGGTAGCGTCAACTTGTCCAGACATATCTCGGCACCGCCCAACGCTAGGTTGTGCTCGAAGCCGCCGCACCGCTGCCACAACATCACCACCAGCGTGCGACCGAGCGCTTCGCTGGCCTGCGAACCATATTCCTTTATTGGACGTGACTTATGATAATATCAGACGTTCTTATGAGTTCCGGAAACGTAAGTAAGTAAATGTAAAAAATAAGAAGAGGCCCACGATGGCGTAGTGACAAGCACACCAGGTATTATTAGTGCATCTACCGGGTATTATTAGGACCTAGCAACGCAAAACAATAGCCACCTTATTACAAAACGTAGACTAGTCGAGTCCCGTCTGCTGCTTGGTTCACGTGGAATTTTTTCTAGTAAAATTTAATTTAGTTTTAGCATCTAGCAGTTAAATGCTTAAAAAATAAAATATTACGTAGACTAAAGTTAAACCTGGACTTAAACTTCTATATTTGCTAAAAAGAAGACAGAGACAACATTAAACCAAGACTAACTATAGATCGCGTTTTGGAATAAGGCGGTAGATAAAATACAGGTGAAATCCTGTGATTACCCCCTAATTCAATTCGTCGTTGGTACTTACCTGGTATTTGAGTGTTTGTTTGAAGTGTGGCTCGGTGGTGCGACGGATGACGCGGGTCTTGCGCTTGTGCAGCCACTTGTCGCCGTCACGCAGGTAGCACTTCACGTACGAGTCTGGCACCTCACCGTTCACGCCGTATACGCGACGTGCGTGCGACACCTAGTGTGAAAGGTGTAAATATAATTTTTATCTTTTAGTATGTAACTGCTTGATGTTTAAATCTAAAGAAAATATAACTAGAAAAAAATTCATGTTGACCAGGCAGCAGACGGGACTCGAACCCGCACCTTTCGCTATCCGGACGAATGCACTGACCAATTATGCTACCGCGGCCCTGACGGCCGCATCAAATTTCTTCTAGCCATTCTTAAGCTGCAAGGCAGCACCATCTCTTCGCATTGTAGGTAACCCACAATGTGTAATTATGTTTCAGAGGATTTTGTTCCTATTAAACAGTATACTTATGACAAAGAGTATATTAATGTCTTTGACTTATGACCTGATCGCAAAGGTTAAACTACTATCACAAAGATTGGCTATCAGTAGACTGACCTTTATTCAGAATATAGCAAGCTACGGAAAGCTACTGTGCATCTGCAGTTACTTAATGAGTATTCATAAATCTAAACTGGACTCAAGTATCGGGTTACATACAAATAAATTCTACCTATAAAGTAGGAAGACGATGATAAATCTAATTAATATTTATCATCGTCATCTTATTTCTTTGTATACTTAGTGTAAGTATGATAAAAAATAATGAATTCAATCAAACTGGCTTTACCAATTTACAATTATGTAGATGTTATAGGTTCTAAAAAGCTCATTCACCTCCAACTCGAGCTGCCCCTTGACCATGATGATGCTGATATTGATTTCGGCGTGCAGCGGCGGGAGGTGCGCGTTGCGCGGCGGCAACTGTCCCGGGCCAAGCGGCACCTGGTCCGCGTCGTCGGACACCGCGTCGCACGCGCCCGCCGCCGGCACCGCCGCCCACATGCTGCCCTTGCGCCCCGTCGCCGTACCTGCGGCCCCACAAGCGATACCACACGTACTCGCCGTCGCTGTGACCCCACGCGCGCTCGAGACCCACAATCCAGCCAAGATCAAAAATCACAGAACTAACTCTCATCAACCAACCGATCAACATTCAAAATTATTATTATAAAAAATAATAACACAACGAAATTTTCCAAATATCATATTAATTATTATAATAAACCATTCAATGGAACACTTAAAGATGATCAAAATAAACATTACATAAAAATAAGCACGTCAAAACAGCTTCGTGCTAATGTATACAATTGATTTACATAGATTCAGATCGGTCCCGTAACCTAATTTACACAAATGGAAGAGAAAGCGTCTCAACGTGTGCAGCCAAGAGTGTAGACGAGATTCTAATAGTTGCCTGAAGCGATCACCAACTTGTAAAGTATGGTAAGCATTCCGTGTTATGAACAGCCATTTTAATTTTTATGTTAGATGTATGCGTTTTGCGAGGACTAATCTCTTGTGTATAGCTCATGCCGCGACCGCCGCGCGTCTACATGCGCGACTGCGACCTACTCGAGCGCCATTTTCCTCGATGCAATTACATCCATTCCCTATTCGGAAAATTGAAATAAAACTTATTCAGTAAAACTTGCTACGGCCTAGTGTTAAGATAATAAATATTTACAAGAAACTAATAGTATGCGCATCGTAACAATGAATGACATTCGCAGAGGTAATGAAGTCCATAACATCCTAGGCGACACAATGCCATCGAGATGAAGACGGGCAACCGAACAGACGGTACACAGAGACAGATGAAGTGAGCGTGATCGCCCGCGGCCGGGCATGCGTCAGGACAGTACAGAACAGATATAGTGAAGTGATGAAAAGCTTCGGGCGCAGCCACATTCAACGGTGCGTGCGCGCGGCCGCCGCGCAAGCGATGTATGGCCCATGCTACTACGTGGCCCGAAACCCTATTCTGATCCTCGACTCGGCCGCATCGGTGGCTTCTACCATCTGACACGTGAGCGTTAGACAGAACAGGCCATTCGAGCAGGCGGTTGTGTCGAGAGAGAATCGGAGTAGAGGGGCTGGCGGCCGTCGGACGTCACAAGGGATCGCGTACACCGTCACCGCGCACGACACAACCCTGCAGGGCGCACGCGCGGGTGCGGGCACTAGTAGTCGCTTACCGAGGATCTAACGGTCCGTCGCTGCTGACCAAAACAAGCACAACACAGTACAAGTCAGTACTACCCTTAATGTTCGCATTACTCTATAGTTGTTGGACAGTGGTTTTTAGGACAATGTTTACAGTTATTTAGGTGGCAGTCGGTTTTTGCTCAAGTTACAAGGTAACGCTTAAGTGTTCAGTCGTAAAATGAAAATTGCCAGGGATAAAATGATCGTTAACAGAAACCGTGCCAATGAAAAACTGAAGGAAATAATCATATTGAAAGAACTCAGTGAAAAAAAGGTATAACGATGATTTATAGTTAGGAGAAAATATTTATGACCATAATAAATATGGACTCTAATTATTTGTCTAATTTAAATACTTTGTTATTTAAATATATGAGTTTATGAGGTACTTCTATTAGTTATGTATATTATTACCAATTTCTGAGTAAAAAGACATGTTAAAGATGGATTGTAACTTCAAGCTGCATTTAAATCAGTGTTTATGACAGGTAAGTATAAAACGCACTATTTAGTTTATTCAAAAAGGGGATAAAGTCTTTTACATAAAGGGTAACCATGCCCTAGAGCCATATGCTATGTAATGGTGAGCGGCTGCTATAACTTGGAGCGAAGCTTCCGATACCGTCCAGTAAGTTTTATTCGTGCATTACCTTCCCCAACCCCGTCCCTCTGGAAAACTTACTGCAGGAAAACAACACACAATGTTGGAGTTTGCTTTCACCTCATTTTGCAATGATTTATATTTGCCCGTAATTTATATAGTTTGCAGATTAGAATTGTTGTTCATATTACGTTTACAAAAAAAGAAATACTGATTTTTTTCTAGCTTTCATTCAAATAAAAACTGGAAAATATTTTTAACAAGGGCTCTATATTATATCTCAGAAACTTATGCGGTTATTTTCGTTTGTTTTTTAAACAATGACACCATCGCTGTTTGTAGATAGCTCAGTTAAAATATCGTACAAAAGCACATTAATAAGAACTAAAATAAATACGTTGAAGACACCGATTTCAACCCAGCTCGCGTTTTTATTTTATTTGGTTGAGAATATCTATTATTTTTAATATACATATCTAAGTGATGTGAAACAAAAGACGTGATGATACATTGTTTGGGGCTAGGGCATACTCACGCCTGGCGGTGGATCCTGAGAGCGAGAGCGTGCGCCCCAGCTCGCCCTTGACCGCCCGCAGCGAGCGCAGAATGTCGTCGGGGTCGCGACGCACGCACGACGATCGCCTGCGCTCGCGCCTGCCCCCCCCACTGACGCCCGCCCCGCCCCCGCCTTCGGCGCCACCCTCTATGACACCACACGATCGCAAACGCACACGATCTATCCGCCCGGTGCGTTGCAATTGCATTGCATAGTGCACAGATGTATTATTGTGCAAGTGCAATTAGCATTTGGGCCGGCTGTTCCAAATCCCGCTTCTCATTTATTTTTAATTCGACCGATCACGTATCATTTTATAGTGGCTCGAAGAAAGTTGTCATATATTATACTATTTTCTTAGTAAAACATAAGTTCTAGTAAATTTTTCTTGAGATTTAAACATCTAGCAGTTAAATGCTTAAAAAAAAAAATCAAAACATAAGTCTTAAAATAAGGCTCGTAAAATTTTGCACTGTTCTGTCGGTGTCGTAAATATCCTGTTTAGTTCTTTCTGTAATATAAACAGTCTGCTTGCACCTTAAAAACAGAAGCGCTTTGAAACAACAGACCCACAATAGTCTTCAGACATTCAACATTTGAGTTAGGACGGCTGTTTATTTATCGCTATTGTATTTGTACGTTTTGTGATGTAAAATGTGAATTGTGTATTCTTTTTTTTTAAAAAAAAGGAACTCTGGTCCCCTTATTTATAAACGAACACTAAGCTTGGATTAATTACTCCCTGTTTTGTCTCTGCCAGCCTATTCGCTACCTTTTATGACATTTACAGTGTAACAGTTGTAAACCAAAGAGAAAATTGCATATCCATCTCTTGCATAGTGGTGTTATAATAAAGCAGTAGTGGATCACTAAACAGCTCGGTGATTATCATTTTCATTTGACAAAAGCAGTTAGCGAATAGGCCTATTGTTTATGGAATGACAAATGGCATTTAAGTAATATGAACAAAACACGGCGTAACTAGCTTATCCCCGTGTGTTAATAAGGGGGTTTACGATTTAAAAATTAAGTTGCGTGTTAGTAATAAAGTGCATTATATTGTAGGCATGAATGTGTATGTGTATCACGTTGGTGAATCAGGCAAGAGGTGTTCGTGTTCTTATATTAACAATGATCACACCTGTTTTTACGTAATGACAGGTGATTTCCGTATTTTACGGTCCTGACACACCATTTTCACTTCATCAACATAAAATATATGAGTAGGTTCGTAATTTTACATGCAGTAGATGTAAACGATTTTTTTCCAAAGAAGAATTAATTTCGTCATGTCTTTATTAACATAAAACAGAAAATACCTAATATCATGTTTGACTTCAAGTCATTTCACATCAGTTAATGACATTACCTACTTTAAAACTCATGATTGATCACAGAACCTTCTCAAAACGGAAAATTATCGAAATTTCTGTGACGGCACAGAAGAGGCAATTTGAGAAGAAATCACAATCTGTATATACCTAGTCAGGTCATAAATTCTGTCACATGTTTAATATAAAATAACTGAAACAAGTTTATTCATTATGTAACCATTTATATATCAAAATGAACTTAACAAAACATAGATTCTTATGACAATAAAGTTTATTCAAAATGACCTCCGTGATTTTGAATACAGGCCTTCAATCTGCTCGGCCAGTCGTCTTTCGCAGCACGAACGAGGTCCATGTCAATATCGGCGGCTGCCTTAATCAAAGATATCTTGAGTGACTCCAAATTGGGATGAGGCTTTGAGCCCGCCTTTTCCCCCAAGTGTTGCCATATCTTGTAATCTAACGCCTCAAATCTGGACTGGAGGAGGGCCAGTCGTCGTGCGGGATGAAGTCGATTTAACAGTCGATTTTCAGTCAGTTTTGTGTGCTCTTCGCTCTATGAGCTGGCGCCGAATCTTATTGGAATACCCAGTGCCTGTTTTTGAACATGTTATGAGAAACAGGTTCCACAAGGTTCGTCAGGACTGTATTTTGATACATAACTGCATTCGTTTTTACACCTTTCTCACAAAAATGTACCTCTGTTAAGCCCCAATAAGAAACTCCCAACCATACCATGAGCGAGGGTGGAAAATGACCTCGTTGGACACGCGGAATACGGTTTCTCGCTTCTTCACTACTGTGTGCGTACACCTTATCATTTTGTTTGTTGTAGCTCTCTTCTACGGTAAAATTTTTTTCATCCGAAAAAAGAATTTCCCGATATTTTTTTCCCACGTACCGCTTCGATAAAGCGCGGCATCTCTTCAGTCTCAGGTCCATTAGACGAGCATTCAAACGATGTCCTGTTTTTCTTCGATATGCCCGAAGCCTTAAGTCTTCATTTAACATCCTTTTCACCGTGGTTCTGCTTAACCTCATCTGAAGGGCCAAGAGTTTCTGCTTACGTTTGGGATTTCTTTGAATTCGCGCCTTCACAGCTTTTACCACTGTTGGAGTCCTAACAGACCGAAGACGACCACTTCTTGACCTGTCATCTACACAAGAGTCTTCATTATATTGTTTGATGGTACGATAAACGAATCTTTTGGTTATATTCAAATTTTTCAGTATGTCAAAATTAGAATTGGCGCGTAACCGCAACGATGCAACGCAATAACTGCAACACGGTCTTCTTTAAGCGTCCGCTCCATATTTCAAAATGAGTAAAATTCTAAAAAGTATACATTTTTATTTTCATGAACAATTCTAAATTCGAATTCAATAAACTTTTTTGTGGCCTGCATTCTAAAAGAAAAGTTTTTACTGTGTGACAATACTTATGACCTGACTGTATACAGGGCGTCCCACGGCTACCTCACACGGAGGGAAAGTATATTAAATATTGAAGTTAGGAATTTTTTTTGAAAGAAGACATCACTTTATTTTTTTAATGATAACTAGAACTGCATTCACAGATTTTTTAAAAATCGCCTGCTACAACTGGGAATCAAACTCGTGAAATTTCGAAAAAAATAACGGCATATTTTATGTTAACTATCGAAAGATGCGCCATGGTAAGTAAATTAACAAAAAATTGCAAATAAACGACAATGAAACTTACGAAAAACAAAAGAACACAGGCTTGAAAATTTATGTGTTCCATTTTCGAATTATTATTACAAATTTCAGCCAATCACATTGTAACTGAATTCAAAAAGAAATGCATACGTACTACAATTTGTATATCACTTTATTATTTTTATCATGTAATAAATCATTCCTTTCATTTAAAATGCTATGTTATTTAGCAAAATATAATCCTTATAATTAACCCTTTAGATGGTTACCATAAAATATGTCGTTTTTTTTTCGAAATTTCACGAGTTTGACTCCCAGTTGAAACAGGCGATTTTAAAAAAATCTGTGAATGCAGATCTAGTTATTATTAAAAATAAAATGATGTCTTCTTTCAGTAAAATATCCTATCTTCAATATTTAATATACTTTCCCTTCGTGTGAGGTCGCCGTGGTACGCCCTATATATACAAGAAAGAGCCAAAAAGTTTAAAATGTAAAAACGCTTATACCTATTTCCCCGATTATGAGTATCTTCTGAAATAAAAGTACTGTGTAGACGTAAGAAACAATTGAGTATAAATTTTATCTTTCTTTATGCCTGGATCACTTATTACAGTATCACAAATTCTGAATTTACTTTTAGCATAATAATGGTTTCGTTTCTGGCATGATTCTCTAAACTTAAAACTAAATTTAACATCAGTCCCTCCTTTTAATTCTATATAGAGAATGACAAGGATACACTGTTGTCAAATTTAAGTTTAGGTTTAGATAATCACGCCAGAATCGACACCATTATCGATCTTGTTACTAAAAGTTAAGTTACTTACCTTTTTCCTGCTGCTGGAACGACGATCGCCGAGAACCAGGTAGCGAGCGAGAGAAGTCCTTCCCCAGTTGGTAGACCTCCACCTCGAGAGTTTCTGACTGGGAAGAGCCTCGTCTTGAGCCTCCCACCCACGCGTGGTCGGGGTGCAACAGCGAAGCGCACTCGCCAATTGAGTCTACGTCATCTGTCACGCGGACAGACATATAATCAAATCGAATGCCGATGTTAAACAAACTAATTCTTGTGCCGTAAAAGATATAATGAAACCATATACAAAGAATAAGTGTAGGTTCAATCACTAGGTACTAAAATACTTCTAGCCAAAAGACAAACACATTTATTTACAAATTTTTAGTAAAATTTCCTTTTAAAGGAAGTTTACCAGATTTCTAAATAACTAAGTCAAATCTAAAGAGAAAACTAGTTAAATCATTAGAAAAACAAAAGTTCGAAACTATAATTATGTAGCCATTGGCCCAATTGCACTATATTTATGAAATGACATTTAAAACCAAATATTGTTGTTACATAAAACAAACGAAGAATGTTAGTGCAACCTCTACCAAAATACTTCTAATTTTCATAAAGACAAAAACGGTTATCGGCCAGAACGGTGGCTTTAGAACAGATTTTCTGATAAAAGAAATCTCCATCTTAAATATCTAAACAATTTTCAGCTAAACGACCAGAAGGTAATGATTAAATCTATGATTCAGTTGGTATAAGTAATAGTTATTTCTTTTAAGAAAAATGTGATAGATAACTAGTATTGAGTAGAGGACTTTATTAATTAAGATGTTCCTAACTTGCTATTTAATTTAATTTTTTTTCTTGCAGACATTTATTATTTTGTAACGCATTTTTAAGTGGATGTTTTATTTTATTTGACTTAAACTATTACTAAGGTGCTCATTCATATAGAAAGAAATCTCATAATACGTCATGCTAGTTTATTAAAATCATGCAGGTTGTATTTTGCTAATATGAAGCTGAAGGTATTCTATCAATGCACCTTCAGCAAAGGAACATTTGCTGTAGATAAACTTAACAACTTTGATTAGTTTGTGCCTTATTTGCAATAAAAAGAAATAAACCATTTGCTCGTAAAGTAATTCGTATTTTAGATAATGCGTGCTCATATAAAACATATGGGAATAGATCTTGACAAAGTATTTCATATCACAGACTTGAAGCTTTAGAAAAAAAAATGCGTGATTACGTGAAACTAATTATAATGGAAGAAAATCATATAATTCTAATGAACTACTGAGTGAGCTATTCTCACAATTCCGCTCACCTTGTACGGTCAGCAACGAAAACCCCTATACAGTTAACAAAAATAAAGTAGGTATCGTTCATACTGTGTATACACTTAGAAAGGATTTATATCACGTACCTATATCTGTATAGGTGTTTTGCTTATACGCACGTTATAATTTGATATAACGCAACGCAACATGTTACTTAACGAATTCTGCATTAGACTTGTGAGAATTCTCAGCGATTTTCAAGGTTTGGAAAGAACATCGAAAAGTACATTCGTAAGTGTAAACGAGGTAGCTAGATGTCACAAATGATCTATAAGTAGAACAGATATCGTCAGCTATTCAAACAAAAATTAGACGACATACTTATACACCAGCACGTGTGCCGTTCGGGTAAAGAGACAGAGGGAGAGGAAAGTAGGAGACTTGATATCACAATGATCGTTGTTAGGGCGAAGCGTGGCGTTCCGTTGCTGTCCGTACCAGAGGCGGAGCGCTGCGTGGCGAAGTCGCCGCGGCGCAGCGCGCGCGCACCGGTCAGGGAGCCACGCGGCGAGGCGCTCGCCGATCGGGTGCCGCGCTCCTCGAGCGTCCACCACACGGCACGTTCCTCTGCGAATGCCTTTTCCAACTCCATCTGTCGTAAATAATTTATTTCTAGCAATCCGCCCTCGAAGGCGCAAGTGGTTAGCGTGTTAGGCTGCGATCGTTGAAGTAAAGCGACTTTCGCAGTGGTCGGTCATTAGATGGGTGACCATTAATTTACTATCTCGAGCTCCACCCTACTTCGGATGGCACGTTAAGATGTTGGTCTCGGCTGCATCTGCATTCGTAAACCAATCCGCACTGGGCCCACGTGGTGGGTCAAGGTTTAATCTCCCTATTCCATCCATAGGAAAGGCCGCAGCAGTGGGCTTATTAATAGGCTGATGATAATAAATGCGCCCTGACTTGGCAAGGTTGAAATATGTTTTAATGTAATGAAATGCATTATTAAGGTGAAATAATTTTCGAAAGCGGTCCAGTCATTTTTGAGTTTATTTATGTATATCTATCCTCATTATTATGTTGGTATCAATTACGTATTATATTACATGATAACAGTATAATCAATTGCATTCAACAATTTCCACATTCGTGCATGCATGTATGTATCGGCAGAGAGGCAAACTCCTAAGAATGGAGTGTACATAGTTTAATAAACTCTGGTATCTTACCCTTGTAGCTTACGGACAAAGGTTATATGTTAATTAATGTAGTCGTTGCAGTGGTTATCTGCTCCAAAGATGAACTAAAATACGTGTTTGTTATATTTATTAAAATATCATAATTACTACAATGTCAGAAAACCCCTTTTTTAGGTTTTCGGTAAACATATTTTTTTGTCGCATTAATTTTATTAGATTGTCACATTTACCGTGCACTCTCCAATGAGCACAGGATCTATGCCAGGACAGGCGTCCCACAGAGTAAGCTCCAAGGCGCGACCAGCTAGTAGGTCAGCAGTGAGCCCGCCGAAACCAAGCGTGGCGTTCCAAACGGGACTGCAGGACGCCGACGCCGGATCAGTCTCAACCGGAGGACAGCTTTCGCTGTTAAGAAAAGTTGCATGTCAATTAAAATTGAAGTAGTTAGTCAGGTTTCACCACGGTTTCACTCATTAAAGTAGGTTTACACTGTCTCTCACTTGACCCTACTTAACGATAAAAAATACTACGGAATCTTATTACAACTTAGAAACAATGCCTACTTCCTATTTCTATACACAGTTACGATTATTTCGTAGCAAGAAAAATGCTACAGAATCGTCGTAGTCGTAGTATGGCTACAAGTATTTATAATACCTAGTAGGTGAGCGCATCGGGGATTTTGGGATTAACTCGAGCGCGGCAGAAAAACATAAGGGGGAGAAAAATTGCACCTTGTAAAGTACTCCCCCTACATATGAGCTCTTTATGAGGTCGAACGTCTAGGCAACACCAAAATAAAAACAACAAACGGCCATAAATTTCGGCCATATTCAAATTGTCAGTTTTTTAATAAGAGCTATTGGAGGGTTCACGCTACAATTCCGATGACGGAAAAATATTAATTTGCCGTTTTGTACGGTGCGGAGGTGGCCGTACGGAAGGGTAGAAAATAGGGGAAAGAAATATTCGAGCACGTCAGACATTGCGAAGGGATGTTACGTAAATCCACCAGTAGCTCGTATTCAAAACACTGCGAACAAAGGTCAAGACCGATTGTTGAATTTTTTTTTTGCTATCATCAACGTTCGATTTTATATAGGGCCATATATAGGTATAGTGGAAGTACTTGACAAGGGTCAATATTGCCCTTCTTATGTTATTCTGTTGCGCTTGAGTAAATACCAAAATCCTCGCTTGGGCTCCCCTACTATTATGTACACTTGTAGCCATACTACGACTACGATGATTTCGTAGCACTTTACTTGCTACGAAATAATCGTTACAGTGTGTAGTAATATGGAGCGGGCTTGTTACAAATAATAAGATTCTGTAGTAGATATACTTATTTCGTACGAGTAAGGCATTGATTTTTATCGTTAAGTATATCAAACACGGTTAAGTTGAAAATTAACATAAGAGCAATAAATACTTACACTTACTATAAAGTTTGTGCTTTTAGAATTACAAAAGTATTAGTTATATTATAAATTTAATTATGTTGATTGATGAGTTCGATTGAGTGGAAGTGGAAGAGATTAATCGACTGGAAGTAAAATTTTTAATACAATCTTATTTACTTAAAACTTATCAAAAATGAAGACGTATACGTCGTTAGCTCTTATTTAAAGCTTTGACATTTGAAGATTAAAAAACATCGATTTAGTTTTTTAAGAAGACTACGTAAACGTAACTAAATTGCGTTTAAAGATAATTTTACTAAAAAATAATCCACACGAACCATTTGTCATCTCTAGCAGTCTGCATTAAATGAAAATATATCAATTATGTAAATTGAGACTTAAGGTACAGTGATGGCAAGAGACGTATCATGGTTAACATTATATAAATAAACTAATAGCGCCCGCCTGCGACTATGTCCGCGTTGACTTCAGTTTTTTGAGAATCCCTCAGGAACCCAATTTTTTTGGGATAACAAGTATCCTATGTCTCAATCCCGGTAATAAACTGTATATGTGCCAAATTTCATTCAAATCCGTTCAGCTGCTTTTGGCTGATTGAGTAACATACAAACTCATTTTCGTATTTATAATAATAGATAAGATTAAAATTGAGACTTGAAAACGAGGAGCTCGATGGCTGGATGGCAAATGGTTAGCGCGTTCGGCTGCGATCGTTGGAGTTGGCAAACTTTCGCAGTGGTCAGTCATTGGATGGGTGACAAAAAAAAACTATAACGAGCTCCTCCATGCTTCAGAAGGCACGTTAAGCCGTTGATCGCGGCTGCATGCAGTCGTTAGCATCCACAAATCACACTGGGCCCGCGTGGTGGGTCATTGCCCAATATCCCTATTCCATCCTTAGGGAAGGCCTGTGCACTAGTAGGGGGGACATTGATAGGCTGATGATGATGATGATGAGATTGAGACTTCAGGTATATAGGTACAGTGATGGCAACAGGCGTATCCTGGCGAACGCCTCCGGCTCGTCCCCGTAACCGAGCGTGTGGTCGCGGGGCGGCAGGTCATCGGCCGCTATCAGCACAACCACCAGCTTGCGCAGCTCGCTCTCAAACCACACTTGCAGCTGAGCGCGCGCCGGCGGCCGCTCGCGTGCCCGCTCCGCTCTCTCTTGCTCCTATACACACATCGCTTTATTAACAGGAGTAAAAACTTTTGATTGGACCTCATTTGGTCATGATTCTCTTAAACTAAATTTGATAGCAGTCTCTTCATTTCTGAGGAGCATATCTTTATTTGTACTTATTATTCTATGGAAGAAAGACTTTATTGCTTTTAAATGCCAGATACTTTAGTTGTAGAATGGAAAAAGTAAAGTGAGCAAAATTTTTTCGAACCTATGCCACCACCACTGAAAGTTGACCCACAGTACCAGTTAGCGAGTATGACGTTCATTGTACTATTACTACTACGTACTACTCGATTATCTATTTTTTGTCCATCAGAAAATAAGTTAGGTCTGGCGGCCTTGGGATCTTTCTCTTCACATTAATCCTTAGTAACATAGGTTATATTTTATCGAGTTACAAGATGAGTTCACCCATGTAAAGCCGGGGTGGATAATTAGTTCAGAATATACTACTGTTAAATTTACTTTTAGGTTCAGAGAATCATTCCAGAATCAGATCCAATCTCAACTTACAGCAGTGCCACTTGTGTATAGATTCAGACATATGTCATATCTTTACCACCAGTAACAATGCGTACTACAAACCACACAGTTCTACAAAAAAACAATAACATAAAACGAGTGATGTGAATGTAAAGGCAAAACTCAACGGAAACAAAAATCAACCAAGTATATACGTAATCCCAGACCTGTAATGCAAAACTAATCAATCAGTCTTTAAATTTGGGGAATGCTTATTAATTCGTTATGTTACATGCAGCAACCATCAGCTATTTGTATTTTGATCATCGATCGAGTAAAAAAACATTTTCATAAATTTATTTCATTCTGTGCGATCAACATTCACGCAATCACATCGCTATCGATAGTTTAGAAACTTTAATTTATATCAATTACATAGTATTTTATGAAATAAACATGCTTCGGGCTGAGGCATTTCTATCAAAACACAAATGAATAATGAAAAATCGGACGATCTCATCCGCCATGCAGTAAGCGGTATCATGCTGATACTGGTTGACAAGCTGCATGTACCTAGAGACCAAGGACTGTCACAAAACAAAAGGTTTTCATTATAATAGTCTAGAGGATTGCCTAATTTATTTAACTCCAACTTAGGGTATACACTAGATATACATTATACAGGAAATATATTCAGCAGTCTACTATAGAAAGGTAGCTTTAGAATTAACTAGATTGTCACTAAATAATAATTTTGAATAACGTTAGAAATTTTGTATAGGTCTTGCTAATAGAGATGTTTATGCAGCTTTTATAAACGTAGATTATTTGAGGAAGTTGTTTAATTATATTTAACATTTAGGAGATTAGACTATGTAGAGTGTACCTACTGCAGCGCATGACATGACAATGTTTAGCATTAGTTCAAAACAGTGTTACATTTTTTTTAAAACCAATTACAATTTACAAACCAATCTCAAAAGTTCAAAGCGGAAACGTATATAAGTTCACCATTAACATAATTGAAACATAATCCTTTAAACATTTCATGAATAAACACACACTGTATAGTAAAACTCGTGACACAGTCAGAGGCTTCACGTCCTATATGGTGCTTTGTACTAGTATCATTGCACATATCCACATTGTGCGGCTTCATGCATCTCTCAACGAGTCGGACAATCAACTACTTGAACAAGAGCGGAGCAGTATGTACATCGTGTCGTGGGGTCGTCGCGTCATGTGACGGAAGCGTCGGTGCGCGCCTGTCGCTCAAGGTGTTCCGGCGGGTGCGGAGAGCCGTGCTGCCACCACTCGAAGCCCTACGCGACTAGTCGCTGCGAGCGCTGCGAGCCCTCGATGCAAGTGCGGCATCACACTACGCTAAGTCAACAGCAAGATCGGTAACAGACACTCGATGCGCAAGACATGAGACGGTACAAACTGCTGCCTTGGCGCTCTCACCTCGCGCTGCTGTCGCCACCGGCCTGCGCGGCGCTTCGCCCCAATGTGCAGCGGTCCATCATGGCCATAACTTACAGTGTGTTTCTTCTATTATGTTGTGTAAACAGTGGATTAACTAAACCGGTGTCACTAGATAGTTCAAGTATTAAATGTACAGAGGTACTGAGTCTGTTGCTTTTGGCTAAGCTGTAAGCAGCGGCGGATCTAGCTTCACTACGTAAATTTATATAATGTTACGTTTTTATTAAAAATGCTAGTCATGGTATCCCATATAACAAAATTAATCGGTAACGGGACTCTTTCCCCTAATCTACCATCGAGTACTAAAACTTTGACGAGCGTCTCGCTACACTTACTTATAACAAATCGATTCGAGTTTATTTGTCATTTTGCCGATCGGTCCCTAAAATTGAACTCCGCCCGGCGCCGTTGGCAACATTATAAATTGGTCGGGTGATAGAAAAAATAAAAATCTGAAAATAAGTAGGTAGCATTTTTTCACACACTTCACTTATGATATAATTATATATAAAAGTTAACGTGTATAACAAATGAAGTTAAAAATATACATAGGTATAAATATATTGAGTATAAACAAACAGAGTATCCCTTTCTCTATAGTAAAGGTTAACAAAGTTAAAGTACATCTACAGTCGTCAATAGAAACACTAATTCCTTACAACTATACTAACGTGGAAGATGTTCGACTGATTAGTGCTACAGTATCACAGCAGTTCGTTCGGAAACCAGCCTCTGCACTCCACTTCCATATTAAACCCAGTTGCAACAATACTGTACGCGTAATACCCAAATTAGGATCTTAACAATACATTGTTAAAACTTGAACAAAACATGGTACGAAAAGTTTGCCAAATCTTACCTATATAAGAACTTGTCGGTTTTTGTTGTCGAAGAATATATTATCCAAGTTTATTTTATCCGAACAAAATTTCTTGGCTTATCAGTCGTGCCACTTAACATTAAAATAAAATTAAGCCAGCTTACGCGTATTGTATGTTGATACGGTTGTGTATTTGGGTTTGGCTAAGAGTTTGACCGGTAACTGAGCTGCGGTGATTACGCAATTTTTTGTGTTCTCAATAGGTTTTATGGTATGATTGGTAGAAGAAATTACACAAATAAAGAAACACCAAATTTCTTTTAAACAATTAAAGGTATATCAACTCATTGATTGGTTCTAAGTATAGGTTAAATTCATTCTTTAGGCGTCGTTAACAGTAGAATTTGTTGATTTACCTATAATTGCGTTTCCACACAGTATTGACAGCTATCAAATAATTTTACTGTTAAGATTAGTTATTGGATCAAACGCAACCAAATAATATCGATTTTAAAGCTTTTTGTAAATTCATTCCAACAAGACATCCACCCGTGTGCATAAATTCTTGGTGGATAATTAAATAGGGTGTAATGAGATTAATAAAGTTCCAGAAGTTTGGGCGACTTGGTGAAGCTAAACTTCCCCGGCATTCTGGATAAAATATTACTTCGGGAGCATCCAAATTTTCTATAAAATAAGTCTTTCCAAAAGTCGAGTTTCGTGTTATCATCGAATGGGAATGTTCTGAACGGAACCTACGTTAACGTCGTTTTCACTCTTTATCACGTTAAAATGATTTCATTGTTCGGTTTATCACTATGTGTTGAATTTGGAAATGAATTGCAGTTTGTTTACGGCGGATCCATTAACTAGGAGATTACAAATAGGAGACTCGTTCAACCACAATATACAGATAAGTGAACCGAGAAGCGCAGAGGAGTAGGCACCGAGTGAGTCTCTACTAGACTTTATGAAGGGGCGAGCGGTGAGCTCAATGTCTTATGGGTTCACAACACATAATTGTTAACAATTAAAGCCTAGTATGGATATTATACCGGGGTTTTCGGCAATTTCCGTCGGGTCGGCGATGATGGTGATTTGTCGGTATCCGGTTCTGTGAACCAAAACAATGTGCATTATACTACTAAGAATCCTGAACAAATTGGATGTCCCAGGAAGTGAAATATTTAGCAAAAATATAAATTGAAGGTAATAAGAAGAAAAAGAAAGTGCACATTTGAAATAGAAAAACCTAATAGACTCATGTGTACAAAGTAGGAAATGTCAGTAAAAAATAATTATGATTAATTATTATAGATATCAAACAAGGAAGCCAAGAATTAATAAGGAATTAAGTTATATAGTAACTGAAGCTAAGAGTACCCAGTGCGAGGAAAAGTGCAAAAGTAATAAGAAAGAGAGTCAGTAATAGTCATCACAAGGAAAAAAAACTTAAAATCTTACTTCTAACAATACAACAATATATTTACTAGAGTATTGGCATGTGAGTACCTCTTTCTTTGGAAGATAAACAACGTTTTATCAGTAACATTTATTATTGCAGTTAAAACTGGTTTATTTAAAAAAAAAACACATTTCTAAGTAACTCCGATGCATTTGGTTCAAAGGAATTATATTACTTAATATCATCTTATGACATAATACATATTTTTTCTTACTTGATTTAATTAGTAAACAATCTTCTTACCAATTAATTGCAACTCGCAAAGGTTTAACAAAATACAGTAGTTTTTCAATTTTAATACAATTCATCTTAGTATGGCTTTTAAATTTTAAAGTAAGTAACTGTTGTTAACAATCAAATGAAAATTGTTTACCATACGTTCAAGTATGAATAAATTAAATATGCACCGGAGTCACAGAAATTGCTAATCTATACATTAAATCGTGAGAGCTTTATTCGCTAATAGACGTTGATCAATTGTTTGTAATATCATGAATTATTTTATTATGATGTTGAACTTTGTTCGTTTCATGTTTTAGCCTTGTATATTTGATTGAACTCATTATTATTATAGTTATATCTGTATTGTAATATCTCTAAGGCTGCCCCCAACAATTAGCGTGCACCATGCGTGCGCGTCCTTTGAGCGAATAAAACAAAGGCGGCGGTGTTGTTGCAACACCGGCGCATTAAGTTTTAGCTCATTCGCGCGACAAGTGGCAGAGACATGGCACATAAAATGGGAAAACGAGTTTTATGAAATGTAATCAATAGACAAAATTCAATAAAAAAAGAAACTGATGCCTTTTCGTAGTACATTCTGCTTTCTCGTAGCTACATTACATTCGTAGCGTAGTTAAGATAGATTCAAATAAAGATATTTTATACATATATGTTTACCAATTATATTAGCTACAAATATAGAGAACGCGCCGCGAGTGTAGTATCCAACATACGATGTGCGCTCGTCGGCTTTGTGTTTGAGATGAGACACGCCTATAGTGCAATTCAAACTTAATGGTGGCTGTGAAGAATAAAAAGAAGGGAGATGTAGGTGCACCCGTGAATTACTCAACTGAAACCGGCACTATTGTTGCGCTCATTGCTAGCTATACAAACGCTATAAAGTTGGAATTGTACTGCACTTGCGTTTGAATTGAATTGAACTGGGATCTTCCATTCCCAGTCAATCACCACGATGTTTTTAGCTACTGTTAACCCCCTGGCCCCCCAGATACGTAGTAAGTTTTTAGACTACCCCCCATAACCAAAATAAAGTAAACCAAACAGCACACTTTGACTAGCAATGGCGAGTTTGGTTGGTGTTTGGTTAAGAAATAGTGCTTCAACGAAAAATCGTGGTTTTACATATATTATATACTCTTGATATTACATTGGACCCCCTCTCTCTCTCTCTCCATGATATTTAATGATTTTTCATTAAATATCATGGAGAGAGGGAGAGACGATCCCTATACGTTCAGATACCGCCTAACATGGGACGCACACAAACTTTGAGATAATTTCATAAACAATACTGAACGGTTCGTATTAATACGGTGAAGATCCCAATCAGAGTCGATACGTCTGCTACCTCAATAATTTTGTCAGTACCGTAGCGCGTGGTGGCGGTGCGAGATAGGTGCATCGTCGTGGAACGGTACGGCGCGGGCTCCAAGCTGTCGCTGTAGATATATCAACTCGGAAAGGGATTGTTTTCGAATCAACCCGAGCCGTGAACAAGTTTGTGTCCCGAGACGAGTCGATTACGTGACGATTCCGATTAGTGTGAGTTGCTGTAGGGAGTTTCATACAAAAAATACTGTGACTTATGTGACGATCCCTTCTCGAGTTGATATGTCTGCTATGCGTTCAGGTTACACCTATCATGGGGGACGCCTCAATAAGTTTGTCAGTGGTACCGTATAGCGCGTGGTGGTGGTGCGAGGCAGGCGCTTTGAACGCGTCCTCGTGGTGCGGCGCGGAGTACACGAGTTTTATATGTCTGCTACGACTTTCATACGTTCAGGTAACGCCTAACATGGGGGACGCTTCAATAAGTTTTTCAGTGGTACCGTATAGCGCGTGTTGGTGGTGCGATGTAGGCGCGGCGGGCGCGTCTTCGTGGAGCGGCGCGCGGAGAACACGAGTTTTATTCATCCAGGTAACGCCCAACATAGGGGATACCTTAATAATGTAGTCAGTGGTACCGTAAAGCGCGTGGTGGTGGTGCGAGGTAGGCGCGGCGGGCGTGTCCTCGTGGTGTGGCGCGGACTCCACGAGCAACTCCACGCTGTCGCCGCCGCGCTCTAGCACCGCGCACACCTCCTCGAAACTGCGCTCAGTTAGCGGTACGCCGCCCCATTCCAATACCTGCGTTTTGGTTATATTTTTTACAAGACTCAGAAAATTATTATTACCACCAGACGTAAGCAAAGTGACATCAACATTTCTAAATTAAGGACAATGCTAAAAAAACCAAGCCGTATAGAACGAAATATGTCTCAAAATTTTAGTATTATTAAATGAAAAGAATATTGTACAGGTGGCATCATCATAATCGATGGCAAAATGAGTAAAATTGCTAGTTTTATTTGGCAGGATGAAAAGAAATCCTAGCCCGATCGACACATTTTTAGTATTATTAAATGTAAAAACTATTGCATGGGTGGTATCATCGAATAATTATCAATATTTAAGTACCGAGTAACTACGGGTTACTTTGAACTAAAATGTGCACTTTTTTTCAAATAAAATTGTAGCTTCTCTTTGTGATGAATATGTCACGTTTATATCTTTCCATTGTGAACTTTAAAGTATAAGTTACAAAGTTATCATACGAAAATACGAAAACATAATATTTAAGGGTTAATATATATATTTTTAACTTTGGGCCAAAGTTGGCCTTAAAGAGGGTTACTTTAGCTCGTTGAGTTTTCTCTGTGAAAAAAACTCATTTTAAGCCATGTTCGGGTTAAGTAACGCTTATAACAGATCACCATTAGCATACTGAATACACAAATGGATGTTTTTGCCCAAAAATAATAAAGTTAAATAAAAAATATAACTTTAAATTTAGAAAAAATAGTAAACTTACCGAAAACCACAGTTTTGAGAAAGTTTGCGCATGAACTTGCGAACTATTTCAGTTACAAAAAATCCCGTGTTACAATGACAACTTGATACAGGAACGATGTCGGTAAAACAACACCACACTACGCGCCTATATGGCTATCTGTGATTTTCAACTGGAACTATAACGATCACCCAAGAGATACTGATGGGGCGGCAAGTTCAATATTTTTTCTGATTTGAGACAAAGTTACCCGCCCGAGTAACCCTCAGTTACGGTATAAAAAAAACAACAACAATAAACTTACACAATAAAAAATAAAAACAATGTTTCGGGAGTATTTTTGTATCTTTGAAAGATTTTCAAAGACATATTTAATTGTAAATGAAGGGGATTCGACAAAGGCAAGGACTTTACCTTATCCCCTTGTTGAAGACCAGCTATGTCGGCTGGACCACCAGGCACAGTCCACACTATAACGGCTTCACGACGCCCGCTCACGTCTGGCTTGCCGCCGACAACTCGCATTCCGAAACCTCGTGCTGTGATGACCGCCAGAAAAGATTTATTTACATTAAAAAACTTATAAGGATTAATGGAAGACTTCAGCACGTAATAAAAAAAAACGAGAAAAAACAAAGTGCTAGAAAATGAAAAGCATAGGAATGTGTATGTGAAAAATTATTTACACACATTAATACTTCTCGGTGGGAAAGTTCCTTTTTAACCGCGTGCTCGATTTGGATGACCGAGCAAGCGAAGGATTCTAAATTAGAATCCTGAGCGTCAGCGAGGGAAACAAACGAGCACAAGGTGAAAAATCTTTCCACTCGAGTGCAATACGTAACTTTTCATCCCACCTCAGCGAGGAAATGACAAAATGAAAAAGAAAACAATTTATAATGACAAAATATTTAAGCAATAAAACGTGAAAAACTAGAATGGCGCGAAGCACGCAAATAAAACAAAGAAACCAAGAAGGTTCCAAATTGAAATTTTTTCACAATTTAAAAAGTTCTAATCATAAATTTGGCACCATAGAGGTTACATTAAATAGGTTTAATGACGTTTTGAATTTACAATTATATTGAGTACTCATTATATGTGATGTTCTAAATTCAAATCTACTTTGCCGCTCAAGCGAATAAAATAGAATTTTCCAGCCAGATTTCGAAGCGCAAAATTACACTTTCCGAGGTGGTGGGATGAAAAAATTATTTACACACATTAATACTTCTCGGGTGGGAAAAATGCACTAAACAATGCATTTGACCGTCATGACGTGTGTAATATAATAGTGTGTTGTTGCGGGTGACCCCATCTTATATCCAGATATCCATAGCAGAATTTAATTTGGGTTCCACCTTCTGTCAAGATACTTCTCTTGGTAATCATCCTAAGGCGCAACGCACACGGCGGGGCAGGGCCGTTATTTTGACCGCGAGTTTTCTAGACTATTTTATTAACTAATTTGATTTTTTCTTTCAATGTAGGTAGAAAAGTAAAATGACAAAAGTAGTTTATTCACACTTACACCTATGTCCCTTGTCGTTGGGGTCACGACGTAAAGAAACGCGGCGCGGTGTGCGGTCGTCTACATCGTGTATCACAATTTTGATGGCTTCCGCGTCGACAGACATCTGCCGCGCGGCGGCCGCTGCCGCAGCGGCTGCGGCCGTCACCGACGCAGACGGCTCCGCCGCGGCGTCTGGTCCTCTAGTAGCGAGTGCTGCCATAGCGCTCAGGGCACCGGTGCGTTGCTGCAGCGCCGCTATATCTGGCCTGTCAGTTGCATTCGCAGAAGATATGGGCCGTGATCTCAGAGCGTAAGACTACACTCAGGGATGACAATTGAAATGACATTAAATTTATTTGCCGTCCCTGTATCTGTTGAAATATAGTAGAATGAGAAAATGTAAAAACTAACTTCTACCCTTCTATGCCGAACACAAACATGGAATGTTCCAGTTATTGAATAGGTATTGTCGAATGAAGCACATCAAAAGAAAAGGTAATTTCTGTGTTTTCAATTTTAGAAATTATTGTAGACGATATGATTGCAAATTGTAAACAATGTTCCTGGACAACATTTTTACTTACAATGCCAAATGTGTATAGGTAGTGATATTCAAATCGTAGTATATTTATGCTACTGTCATAATTTCGGTATTCTGCCACCACAGCAAACGAAACCATGCGAAAGAACATGAGTAGATTTCATAAAAACAATGGCGACTAACAACTGGCTCCCTCGCCGCCTGATAGGCCGATCCTCGTCTACGCTGAGGCCTGCAATTTGCGGCGTGCTTTCTGCGTCGTCCGCACGATATGAGCCGCGACGGGACTGCGATCCCGCTACCACGTCCACTGCTGACGCTCTGCGGAATAGGTATTTAACTTAAACAAATTCTTACAATGGCTTGGTTACGTAAATAATATTTATTTAAATACATATTCAAGTGGAAAACAGTCATTTATTAAAATTTATAAGTGATGACGTATTTTATATCAAAAGCTACGAGTAACGATTTTCTAACTTCTGAAATCCCATAGCTTTGTTGTACTGGTTGCTGTTTTTTCTTTGATATACTATGGATTTCCACGAATACTTATGCACTGAGCAAGTAATCACTGGGCTTGTCTAAAGTTTTAATCTACATGGGGTTCTAAAAGACGTGCAAACTGCTTCATTAAAATTGAGAATACAAAACAAAAAAATTAAAATGTTATTTTGTGCTGTGAGGTTTGACAGTGAGAAAGTGTTAGTCTAAAGTGGTGTTGTCCGTATTTGTACCTTCTAGACATAGGAGGTGGAGCCGCGAGCGCCGGTTGTCCTGGCGCCGGCTGGTCCTCGTCGCAGGAGCGTTGTCTAGGCGCGCGCACTGAGCGCCGCCGCGCCGGCGACACCGTGCTCGGCCGGCGCGAACTCACGTCCGGCGTGGAACTGCCGCCAACGCCCTTTAGCTGCCGCGGCGGGCAGCGTGGTTATAAACACATTTATTTTACAGCCACACAGCAACATGATCGAAGCTACATGCACTTCTGGGACACGTGCATTCACACAGTGAGAAAGGATCACGAGCAGTTTTACGAGCAAGAAGAGAAGAACATTCAAATGCCAGTGTTGGGGATACCTTCGAAGTTTCGAGTTTACTAAGGTGGTTTTGTGATTGTCGTTCCTACGTTTAATGTTCACATTGGATGCAAGCATACATTGGGCCATTCACATTGATATGTTTCAAAAGCGTAACGGCACAAGAATGGGTATTTTGGTTTTTTCAATAGATGACCATCATAGTGCTTAAGACAAAATGACGTGGAAGCGGTTTCATTGATGCATTCTCATACTCATGAAGTCAGACGGCGAACATAAGCTGTTGCGACGAATAGGTGTTTATTTCCATAGCTGTGTTTTAATATAGTTGTCTACGATAAATTATCTTTAAGCTTTCGATGAGCTAACATCTTGAAACAGAGACTTGGACGACTGCAAGTAATGCAGTAAACATTACCTTTTCTAATTCTTTTAAAGAGGCAGGGGAGACGTCTGAGTGCCGGCGTAGTTCTGGAGATCTAGGTGGCGCTAGCGCTGTGCTGCTACTGCCGCTGCCGAGCCTTGCTTCTGAGTGACGTCGCTGAAGGGCGTCGAGGACGGGCACTTCTAGCAATGAGTCTGTACTGTCCTGCGCCGCAGGTGGTAAGCGAGGAGCGGCTTTCCGGCGGCATACTGAACACCGCCATGAACTCTGTAGGACGATTAAGCGGTATTCAACGAGTGATCTAGCAAGAAGAAATGTAGTATCAATTACAATTGAATTCCATTAACTTGTGAACTATTTTGACTACTATTAATAGGTGCAACGCTAAAAAGTTAATCCGCTGGGTTAATATATACCGGGGTAAATAATTTAAAACGACTTGCAGTTAAACTAATATGTAATTGCTTAAGAGAGACGTAAGTATTCGTTTATCGAGACGTCATTCTTCTCTTGATTATTGCCTACTGAATAATGCATGTATGGTATAAAAATAAAGGAACCAATAAGCCGTACAGGTAGAAATTTATATCAATTACCTCACCGCACCGGCGAGAATCTATTTATCATCTTAGTCATATTGCCTTGAAAATTTAGCGGTGTCGTGCGCGGCGATGCATACATTTTAATACAAAATGGTAAACCTCTAATGAATTTAATCGAATTCGACGCCGAATGATAATGGTTACCAACTTAACTTTTTACGTTACTGTATATACTCAAAGATAATAGATGTTCAGTACCCCTAGCACAAGCCAATATCGAATTCGAAGAGTTTGCGAGTGCGAAATGTCAATGTAAAATTTTGTATGGAAACTTGAACAGCAGCGCCACAAAGTACGTAACGAGAACTCAAATCAGTACACATTTGACAATGACATTTCGGACTCGCAAACGATACGAATTCGATATTGGTTCATGCTAGGGATACTGTACCTTTAGCACGAACCAATATCGAATTCGAATAGTTTGCGAGTCTGAAATGTCATTGTCAAATGTGTACTGATTTGAGTTCTCGTTACGTACTTTGTGCCGCTGCTGTTCAAGTTTCCATACAAAATTTGACATTGACATTTCGGTTTGCATTTCGTACTCGCAAACTATTCGAATTCGATATTGGTTCGTGCTGAGGGTAGTGTTAAGATAAAGGAGTATAGGTAGATAATTAAAAGAATTCGGGTCACCAGTGGAGATTTTAATAGGTGACATTCTTAATAAGGGCCGCGTGACAAGCGCCAAGAACCGACGGGCATTCAGCGGTGCGGCGTACCGAGTGGAGATCGATCGTCTCTCGGCTTGCCCCTCTGGGAAATAATACAACCTTAATGACCTTTATCATTTATACCAAAGGTTCTCAAACTAATAATGTGTACTACTGTACTAATTATAAGCATCAATTATTTTCTAGCAGCCCCTAAAATTACTGGCTTTACCACGATTTCAAAACCACAAAACTTTTAAAGACCTGGAGGCCTACTCTATTTCAACGAAAAACGAAATTTCGATCGAAATTTCGCACGTTCCTTACTCTGTTTCCTTTTCATTTCGAAAATTCGTTCGTCCGAAATAGTTTGACAATTAAATTCTCCAAGCCTACTCTAATTCACAAAACTTTCGAAGGAAAAGTTGAATTTGACAGATAATTGTTCGAAATTTTAACCTCAAATTGACGAAATGAAAAGTGTTACCTTTTCATTTTCGTTTTGAGATTTTTATTTTAATTAAGAAATTTCGTTTCGGAGAAAGAGAGTAAAGCTCCTGTACAAAGTAGTATTAACAATCCATGTAGAAAAAATATCAAAAAATGGGTGCGTGTACTTATGTAGGCGCGTGAGAAGTTATCCTTCTTTGGCATCGTTTAAAATTAGTTTTTAATTGCATGCAAATAATTAATTACAATAAATTAATAAAAAGTCTGGAAAAGGGCACAGTCAATAAAGTTCAGTTTTAATTTGAAAAAATATATAAATAATCAAAATATTCAATTAAAATCGCTACTGAATATAATTTATTAGAACATATGTGATTTGCACTTGTATGAAACTCAAACACGTATTCCGAATATACAAACTAGAAACATGTGGATAAATATTATAAATATGAATACCTTTAACTGTTACTTTATTACAAAAAATAAAGATGTGGTTTTTGGTTCTACTACACCAATGGTCAAGAGACGGCTCTGTAGTCTCCTGAATCGCGCTTTGGTTCCGTTGTTCCAGATTAATAAATACTTTTGATATTATAAATATGAATACCTATAACTGTTACTTTATTACAAAAAATAAAGATGTGGTTTTTGGTTCTACTACACCAATGGTCAAGAGATGGCGCTGTAGTCTCCTGAATCGCGCTTTGGTTCCGTTTAATGGTGGGTCGTTCTCAAATTTTCTGACGACGAAACGCAACCGTTTTCTCTTAAACGAAAACTAGTCATCGAAACGGTTCTCGTTCGCAACTGGTTTTGGTTGCGGCTGGGTGACGACGCAACGAAACGACACGCGACGCGAGACGGTCGAACGAATGTAACGCAACGAAACTGAACTAAATGAAATCTTGTTCACGTTCGTTTCGTTGCTGCGAACGAGACGACGAAACATCGAAATAAATGTAGTGTTATACGATAATCGACTTTATATGTTCATTAATAAAGATTATATTATTGTAAAAACAAAGCTTAATTGTCATAGAACGAAACGGCCTCATATCATTACGTTCTATTATAGACTGTATTTACTTCAACATAAAGTACATATTGGCGTGCAGACAATTCGAGGACTAGTTGTTCGACGACGACTGTTTTGATCCGAAACGTAAAACGGTTCTATCGTCGCGGAACACAAAACGGTTCTTGAAACCGGTTCGCCTTTAGAACACTCACACCTAGTTCCGTTGTTCCAGATTAATAAATACTTTTGATAGGCCTTCACAATGCAGTCGTTAGCACCCACTAAATAGAGATTCTATTTTGTTGGTAGATTTTCTTAATGTGCGGTAAACACAAAAGTAACAGCATGAAGTTGGTAGCTAAAGCGACCAACTTCATGCTGTTAATTTTTTGTGTTACAGTGATGCGCGCGCATCTTAAAATTTCACTCTCATCATTTTTTCATAACGCGCCTAAAGAAGTATAACTTCAAAAATTGATTAAGCCTAGTAGATGTGGAGTGTTTTAAATACAATTTAATTATCTAAGAAAAAAAACACAAATCAGTTGTCGCTTTCCTAATCCGTTCTCCTAAAGGGGCGTTTTTTGTCACTTTGAAAAAGACTGACCTATTTTGATAAGGTGTGCTGGCCATGGTCAATTCAAGTCAAGCAAGCGAAGCGAGTGTCTGCGGTAAGCAAATTATGAATTGATATGATTGGCTTATTATGATATACCTAGGAATTTCATGATCTGGTGAATCATGTTATTGGACGACTACTTAAACAAATAGGGTTTAATTTTAATTTTGAAGGCGGGTTCACCCTCTGACCACGGTCGATAAGGCTCATATATCGTTCTGAAAAGGTACCATATCAAAAAATATTTAAGCACCCTTTTAAATTTTTCCCATATAAGTATTTAATACTTACCTACGTTAAAAGTTTCACAGAGATAACAGAAAAGCTCGGTTTTTAATTGAATTGGAATCAGTCTACCTTTTTTTTTCTTAAATCGTGGTAACCGGGAAATCTCTACATTGAGTGTGCGGGGTGTGTTAAACTTAGCTGTATAAATTTCAGAAAGTCTGTAATTAATTACGACTGGAGAGCGGACCAACGCGAAGATTTACGTTTACTTACGTCCGTATTTGTGTGGAACGTTAACTTGGTGCGATTCGAGTGCCAAGCTTATCTTAAATTCTCTTTGAAACAGGTCGGCAAGTTAAGGATTTTCAGCAAATAAAAGTATTTGGTTATTTAAACTCAATTAAGGTGGTGCTTGAGAATTTTCATCGTAGGAATCTGCGATTCTAAATTTTTATTAGAAAAAAGTCCTTCATTTATTGATAAAATTGTTAGTTTTTCTTGATATACTTCGCTATCAAATCAGAAATCAATATAGCTTTATTCAAATTGGATGTAAAGTATAACTCTTTTGAATCGTCCAATTTTTTTCCCTACCACTCGTTATTGGACATATTTTTAGCTGCGGAGAAAAACGAGCGAAAAAACCTCCACAACATTAAAAGTATAATGTAACAACATTTATAAATCATTATGTTGTTACAACGTCAATACAATCATGATATATTTAATATAGAAAACCTGTTGAAATTATTGAAATAGTTCAAACCCAAGCATTTTTGTCTGTAATATAATCAGACACTTTGTAATAAGCTTTTTTAATAAGTGCTTTTTTATACTATCTATGAATTTATTTATGGTTAACTCTTGGATATTGCTTGAGACTATATTGTATTAGGGAACGCAAAGACTTTTAAATGAATTATTGATTTTGTGAAGCTGAACAGCAGGTAAAGTTAGTTTATTTTTGATTCTTGTATTAAGTAACATGTGAATATCACTGTTTTTAAGAAATAAATTAATATTTTTTCTTACATGTAATAAACTTTCGTATATGTATTGTGATGCGACTGTCATTACGTCAAATTATTTAAACTTATCTCTTAAGGATTCTTTAACTTTAAGATTTTTTATTGAATACCTCTCTTCTGCAGCACCAAAATAGTTTGAATGTCGGTGGCGTTTCTCCAAACTAAAATTCCGTACAACATTACACTGCGGAAAAAACTAAAGTACACTAATATGGCCGTATCAACATCCGTTAACTGGCGTATCTTCAATACGGAAAACGCTGCAGAGCTAAGTTTATTTGCCAATTTATCAATATGTGGGCCCCATTGAAGCTTAGCATCAAAAGTAATCCATTGAACTAGTGGACTACCTTAGAGATACAACTGTTCACGTCATCAATAACTGTTTCCTTGCGTTTGAGTTTAAATAAAGGAGATGTATCATCCGCGAACAATACTATCTCATGGTTTTCTCTTACATAGTAAAGTAAGTGATTAATATAAATTAAAAATAAGAGAGGACAAAGGATTGAGCCCTGCAAAACACCCATTTTAACCGGCGAAACCGGAGACTTATTGCCATTAATGTCAACCCTCTGAATTCTATCCATCAGTTATGATGCAATAAGATCCAGATCGTTATCTCTAAATCCATAGTGGAGGAGTTTTCTGTGTAATGTTTCATGAAAAACGCAATCAACAGCTTTGGACAAGTCGCAATACACAACACACCTAGAGCGTCCTGCGAGTTCCCCCAGGCGTCAAAAATTTGTTGTATAAGTTCAACACCGGCATCGATTGTTGAAAATTGTTTACAGTGAAGTATATTATGTTTATTAAAATGTGATTGCATATGTTCTAAAATTTTTTTTTTTCGAAAATTTAATTAAGGTGGGTAGCACAGAAATTGGTCTAAAGTTTGTGGGGTCTTATGTACTTCCCGTTTTATGCAAAGAAGTTATTTTACTGTATTTCATGAGGTCAGGAAAAACACCAAAGTCAACACAATCATTAAATATGCTAGCTAGAATAGTAGTTATTGTCTCAATTACCGATTTAGAAACATCAACGGAATTGCCCCACAGATCCGCGGTTTTCTTTTTATTTAATTGGTAAAAGTTTTTATTTCATCTCTAAAGTCAACATGTTTAAAATGAAAATGACTAGAAAATGACAAGGTTTCACGTTTTCTCTTAAGATTGATTCGGCAACAATGGGGGAAGAATAGTTGAAACTGGAATATCAGTAAAGAAATTTTCGAATTCTGTAGGGACTTCAATATCTGATGTAACCTTTTTATTATCAATATTTAAGTTATAATTATTATTGCGAGTTTTTCAATTTTCCAGTTTCATTTTTATAATTGTTTTTGTCATTACAGTTCCTAATCTTAGAAATTAAGTAATTAGAATTTGCTAAGCGGCATACTTTTTTAAACAATTTGGAATAGTTACGAACATGTTCATTAAATTTTTCACTAGTGTTACAGTTTCGTTCATTATAAAGTTGATAAAGTGTTCTTCTACTTTTATGAATTGCAGGCTTGCCCACTTACTGAAAGTTACCGCATCATTAACACATAGTTTTTTGGGTACAAAAACATTAATAAATTCAGTGCAGTATATATTAAAAAAATAATTATATAAATCATTTGGACAGTCTTTATATTTTAGAAAACACATTTTTCTATTTAATTGATTTTTAAATCGTTCCACACGATTAGCAAATTTTGGTACAACAGTGATGTGTTTTTTTGTCACCTGATTGAGCTGATATGGAATCACTATCTAGTTTATTAATAATTTGTTTTTTCTGTGGTATGTATGATATCTGTGTATATATTATGGCCGAAATGGCAGCTATTCTATTAGGCTCAATGAACAAGTTTTTCAGATTGTATGATTGTTTTTTTTATTTTAGTACATGAACTAGTTTATTGTAATAAATCAATATTGAAGTCACCACAGACAATCAACCGTTTGCCAGTAGTATAAGTTTTCTTAAGAGCTTCATCTATGATAGCTTCAAAACAATCATACAATGCTGATGGAGGTCTGCATACGCTCAATACAACAAGCCGGTCCAGTTTCACACAGTCACTTTCTATTGTTCGCTCAAACGAGATTCTCATAATATCTCTTCGTTCCTTAAATTTTAGTATTTTATTCAATAATATTAAAGAGCCGAAGCCGAAACGCTCGAATTTCATTTTCTCGATTGAACGAACCACCAACCTGATGATTATTAAAATATAATATACTCAGATAACTTTTAAGCCAGTGTTCTGTAATACAAGCTGTATAGCAGCTTGTTTAGCTGTGAAACTATAAAAAATAAAAAAAAGACTCGAACTGCGAGGCCCTGCTGATATTTTACTGATCTTTACCGTATACTTCCGTATACGAAGCTGTGGTTCTTAATTTATATCTGACAACGTAGATATCATATTGCTAAACACCATTTCCAACGGTGATTTTATGAAGCATGACTTAGGTACAAATACTCAAATTCATCATACAAACTAATGCCCCACCGAAATAAGAACCCAGAAACTCTGAGGCGACAATTTGACCGATGACCTTGATAACAGGTGTGTAGATGTTGTTGGATGATTTGAGAAATCGGATCTTCGCCAAAATCCGAGTCTTAATCTTACTGAAAAAAGATAGGATTTCTGTGAAAACGCGAGTCGCCTCAGTAAGATTGCGAAAAGAATCGTTGGCTTATTATAAAATAATATTCTTATGGGTAAAGCCCTAGTGGGTTAGCGTTGTAATCATGACGCGCCCGAAAAAAAAAACGTTAACAGTAAGATTGAGCAATATTGCCATTGTCTAATTTAATTATTTTATGTTAATATGATATTGAATCGTATTTGTACTTAGCATACCGGACAAATCACTGCGATTTATGGCGTGCTTTTTAGCGTTGTAATTGTTAGTTTGATATGAAATAAATAAAAAACGCGTTATCGCAAGATCCCTAGAATTTCCGCGAAAATATAATTTATCAAATTATATTCCTAAAGGGACTCCTTTTAATAATATATTTTAGTTATTATATTATACTTTTCAAGGTTTTTAGTTTTAGGTTCATTGTTCCTGTATATATTATTATTTATCAAATCATCCTATGACATATACCTATCACTCTACCACGGAGGTCGATGAAGTAATATTATTGAAGTTACCGCCTCCTCGTCGCTAGCTGGCTTCGAGTAGGAGGAGCAGTCTTCGCAGACGCGGTGCTGGCAGCCATTGCAGGTGTGCCACACCTCGCCTGGCTTCAGCGCCTTCAAACAAACACGACACGCGCCTGCCCGCGACGGTGCCTTTCCCGCTTCCCTTTATCAAACAAAAAAAATGGGTGCGTGTACTTATGTAGGCGCGTGAGAAGTTATCCTTCTTTGGCATCGTTTAAAATTAGTTTTTAATTGCATGCAAATAATTAATTACAATAAATTAATAAAAAGTCTGGAAAAGGACACAGTTAATAAAGTTCAGTTTTAATTTGAAACGGTTAAAGTAACGGTCTTAGGGTCGACACCAAATGATCGGTGGTTCGATCCTGAGCTCAGTTATTTTTTTTAATTGTTTTAATGTTTTTTTCTTTTATTAAGCTATTATTTATTTTTCGAAACAATTTAAGAATAGAATATTTAAATTTGCCCAGTATTTAACAATACCTAAATAGTTAGGTATTATACGTTTGGTAGGTGCCTAAGTTTTTTTTTATTTATACAGGCCTGGTAAAATAATCTGAAAGTGTGTACATACCGT